TTCGGCCAACTTGTGAACACTATAACATTAATGAACACCCTTGCCATCCTTCGCGGTACATTCGTAACTTTCGACCGCTATCTATGACTTCTTCGGCTTATATCAATCTTCATATAAACTTACTATTACTTCGAACGCGCGCTATCTGTGAACACCGCTATAAAATTAATGAACACCCTCGCAATCCTTCGGGGTACTTTCGGTAACTTTCGACCACTATCGATGACTTCTTCCGCTTATATCAATCTTCATATAAACTTACTATTACTTCGAACGCGCGCTATCTGTAAACACTATAAAATTAATGAACACCCTCGCAATCCTTCTATTACTTTCTTTTCAGTAACTTTTGAATCGTTGCTTCTTCGGCTGTCAATCTTCATATAAAGTTACTATTACTTCGAACACTATAGAATTAATGAACACCCTCACCATCCTTCGGGGTACTTTCGGTAACTTTCGACCACTATCGATGACTTCTTCGACTTATATCAGTCTTCATATAAACTTACTATTACTTCGAACGCGCGCTATCTGTAAACACTATAAAATTAATGAACACCCTTGCAATCCTTCGGGGTACTTTCAGTAACTTTTGACCGCTATCGTTGACTTCTTCGGCTTGCGTCAATCTTCATATAAAGTTACTATTACTTCGAATGCGCGCTATCTGTGAACACTATAAAATTAATGAACACCTTCGCAATTGTTCGGGCTACTTTCGGTAACTTTCGACCGCTATCGATGACTTCTTCATCTTGCATCAATCTTCATACAAACTTTCTAGTGATTATGTCAACTTCGTTAACTAAGTGTTACCCGATCTTGCCATCTTTCATTCTCGATCCTCAACTGTCGTCTTGGTTGCTTCGCTGGGCTTGCATGAATGTGGTTATCTCAAAATCATTTATACTTTTGTTGCGATTACAATAGCAGAAGATATTAATTAAATAAACTCTGTGCTCAATACTCCTTTAATCCTAGTTGTGACAGTGATGATATCATTTCTGTTGGTGTTTGTGGTAAAAATAAAATATGTACATTGTTGACGTCATATATACATTAAAACTTATTGTAAAAATTTCTCTTTGAGGGTAGAGATTTGCTTTGCGTTTAATGTGAATGAGATTTGGTTAATGTAATATAACGTTATACATAATAAGTCCAATATGTAATGTAAAGGAGCTGATAAAGGATAATGATATAAAGAATGTGGAATGCTGTATAGTGGGTGTAAGCCGTTGATTCTATAAATTTATATGAAGCTGCAACTGTTGTATTAATAAAGGAATTGACTTGTAAAGAAACTGTAGTGATGAACCGGTGGGAAATTAAATAAAAAATTTTGAAATCGGAAATTAAGCTTGTAAAATATTTTTACCACAGTAACGAGAATTAAAAGCTTGCGTCTCGAGCGCTATCCATTTTGTGCCCGCAGATGTCTAGGTAAAAAGAAAAAGAAACTGGGAGAGAATTGAATGGTTCACTCGATCGAAGCTTATTGTCTCCGTCTCGAACCAAGATATGGTTTTATGTCCGGGTTTTATGTGCTTTTAATTCAATACAAAATGTAGCTCCTCTTGTCGTTGTTATCGAATTTCGTGTCCGCTGATCGTCTTCATCGGCGTACATGTTCGCTCGGAAACCACATTCGAACGCCTCGAGCGCAAGCGCATGAAATTCTTATGGCAGTTACGTTTTACAACATTAACTCCCCTAGGAAACGGGAGAGAGGAGGTTGCCCTGTCTGAAGTGTTTAACTGGATTTCTTCAAAAGTAAGATCATTGTAAATTTATTGCAAAGTAGATATAACTCGGTCAATTTAACAACTTGTATTTACTATTGTCTATCCAATACTATATTTTTAACAATTCCTGTCTTAAATTGTAATTAAAATTGTAATGAGTGTGTTAGCGTAAGTAATACTAATAATGTATTAGTTTGTGTAATAGATACTACATGATCTGATGTAATGGCAGTGCTTTGAATATAGTTCAATTCGTGCAGGCGATTGCGAATGTGAACCTGAGTTTCAGATAAAGATAATTGGGAACCAAATATCTCCTGCTGTTGTTGAATTTGTCACCCCTCTTCTGGTTGCCTTAGCTCACCTTCATCTAGGAAACGCGAGAATAACCGGGGAAAACTGCCCTATTCCTCTCGGGTAGCCTAGACATTCAAATTTTGGAATACACAGCGTCCACGTCATTTTTGCAAGCCTTATAATCTTATAAATAGGTCAAATTAAGCCCCCTTTTCAAAAAAGCGCACCTCCCTCGATTCCCCCCCCCCCCCGAACAGGTCACTTAACGCCACCCCTTGTCCTCCTTACTAAATCAAAGGTATTGACAACTGTCAGGAACCCATAACCCGAAGAAAGCAACTCCCATACTACGCCTATGTCAAGGCGTTTTTACGGACCAGGTTATTTTTAGACGCATTTTAGGGCACTTTTTTCCGCGAAAATAGAATCTCAGCCACAGGTCTATGAGCGCATTCGAAGTATAAGATATCAAACAGGAAAGGTTAACGTTATTCTGAAAGGAAAAAATATCATTTTTAGGTCTGTAGGTTTTTCTACCTGGTTTGTTGAATTTAAAAGATATTCAAAATTCGAACCAAAACCGTTCTAAAAATAAACTGGTCCGTGAAAACGCCGTGAAACGAGCGCGTGGAAGTTGCTCGCTCCGGATTATGGACTCCTGCAACTGTCAAAAATGAACCATTATGGGACATCACGCTATCGGATGTTAAGGACGCGGCCGCGAATAATAATACTAATCAATTATTCACCGAAGTGGTAGTGAATTGTACGAGATAATAACCGCTGAGCTTAACAACCAATCATACACTCGTACTCAGGACTTTTCCCTTACCCCCTTCCATTTTTGAAAGAGAAAAAGCCCCGGGGACAAGGCTGAGCCAATCAGAGCGTTGTTACATGAGAATGTGTTGTATTTTTCGTTGAACTGAAACAAAGACGTGTTTCAATTTGACTGAAATAAAATAGAAGAAAGAGCTAGAGAATGAAATAAGCCCCCCCCCCCATTTAAATGTGCTTCGCGCTCTCGACTCAAACAACTGCTCTAATGACATACTGTAAATCCTCTTTTGAGCTCTGCAGGGGCTCCAAACACTTTTGAGGAGAGGTATTATTAGAAAGAGGAAAAAATCCCATTCACATAAAGTTGTATATCACACAGCCCTCCATCAAAAACAAATCCGAATTTTCACCATATCCGACCACGTCAATTTATCATTGCAATAACTTTCCTTCCTTAGTCGCAAGAGTTCTGAAATTTAGCCCAGAGAAAATCTATTTAGTCCTTAATATGACGAAAAACGGTTTTTTCCCCTTCGTTTCCCTAGAGTGAATGATGCAGGCAAAAAACGTGCTAGTAAACATCAGTTAAATTTTTGACTTGAGGTCATGATTTTATTGCAAAGCGTGGCAATGGAAGCGAACAAATATTAATGGTAGATGACAAAAGAACAGCTTGTATCCAACAAATGTGACTCCTGGGTGCTATATGTAAAGTTTCCAACGGGAAAACATTTAACGTTTGCTATTGATATTTAGTATTTAGTTCTGTTGTTCAAGTAACTAATTGCTGATTGGCCCACAGCCAACTTTCTTGGAAAGTAAAGTTATTTTCCTGTAATCTGATTGGTCAACTTTGTCTAAGTGGCCCCGGTTACAATAGTCGCACTGTAACTTGAAGCATACATCAGTGCGATTATTCTTTAATAAAAGCACGATAGGCAGGGGAGAGGCCCTTGAAAAAATGGCCAACAGCTCATCGCTGTAAAGGTGATGTTACACAAGACGACTCACCACGACGATTTTTAGCGCAACAAAGCGTTGCAACATTGTTTCGAATAGTTACAAAATTGTTCCAACATTGCAACGCTGTGTTGCGCTCAAAATCGTTGCTGCGAATCTTCCCGCGTAACATTACCCTTACAATTGTACGCTGCCTCAAAGAGCTACAAAGTTATTCTTAAACAAAATTGTTAACTGCTTCATTTTGGTATTCATTCTTAAGGTAAGTTTCCGGCAAATACCTCTGATTTCATCTTAAGGCACATAGTCTGATCCTAAATATCTGAAATAGTATTTAATAAGTTAGAAGCTATATTAAAATGATTTTTTTTAACAAGTTTAAAATATTCCTTTCATCGCGCAATTTATACCGCCGGCAGCACATGCAAATTACACACAGGATAAGCAAAGTGACGTGGTATGAAAGAATGTTTATTAGACAAGTCAATTCAAGTGACGTATACATGTACTTTACTAGCAACATAGATTGAAATTTTGAGCAAAATCCTTTGCTATTTAAACTGGCCCGAGAAAATAGCCGACATTTCACGAGTTCCCCGCGAAATAACGTCGGAGAAACGAGCGCAGAAATTTTATACTGATGACAAGTCACTACTCTGATCAGTATGGAAAATTCTGCGGTCGTTTTTTACACGTCATTTTGCAGGGAAACATGCCACTGGTGGCGTCGCGAAATGTTGGCTGTTTTTTAAGGCAATATTTAAACTGGCTTCAAATTTACAGAGACTGGAATTTCGATTAGGACGTTCAAGTGTAAAACTGGCTTTTCACCGGCCAAACAGATCCATTGCCTTTGCCGGTGTCAAGTAAGCTGATACTATGACTAAGAAATCTTGCGTCGCATTTTATAATCAAAATGCTGATCAACCAATTTTCGAACCAGAAGCAATACCGCCATATGCTTATAAGAACCTACAACGGATTAGGACGATTTATAATTGTTCAGATAAGTTAGTCAGCGGTAATCGATGTCCTAAGAAAAGGATGGAACTTGGTTTCACCAAAATGTTTTTCCAGGCTTCGTTACAGTCCTAAGTTACGTTTATCTATCCACTCCTTTACTTTATACCACACCATAGCTCATTCGTTCATGATAGTACATAACAGGCATGAAAACAATATCTTCATAAAGAAGTATTCATTGCGCTAGCAATGCCAAAATACTAAAATAGAGACCTTTGGAATCTAAGACGAGAGAGACTGCGAGAAGTCGAGAACGAGATTTTCTCAAAACTAAGCAGCGTTCGCGCGTGAAACCGCGTCATTTTGGCGGGAAAACTTCATGGCCGTCGTCCTACCACGGGTTTTAGCGAGGATGTTGTAGTGGCGGAAACAAGTTATCAAATGGTAGAAGTTGCGATCGGGAGAAGGCTTAATCTCCCTAAATTAAGATAATGGTGCAAGTCAAATCTCGTCCTTGAAACTAAAGTTCTCGAATGGCATGGAGCGAGGATGAAGTTACAATATTTCCTATCGCATACAATATCGGATCATATACATTTTACCTCAGTAACTTCTTCGTATAGCATTGCTGGCCTTATACAAACAGGTCAACGTTTACAAATAAAGTATATTGCATAGAACCGGCATCCAAAACCTCCACTGGACTCTCTCCACTAGCATTAAATTAATAATTCACTGCCTTGTTTTAGGCTCGCTGTTTGCATTTTGCCATCCACTACGAGCTAGCATGACAACGTTAGTATTTGTTCTGAAGTATGTAAATAAAACTACTGATGTGTTGTTGAACAAATGTCCCTTGAAATTCCCGTTAAATGCTTAACTGGTAGACGTTATTAGGCCGGCCAGAGGTTTTAACTGAGTGACATCTTTATCCTCTCTGTAAACCAACCGCCGTTACGCGGTAAAAACTGTCGACATGATTGGCAGTTCAATAGCGCAAGTGTGATTTGTGCTTGGTCATGAATCTGTCAAAAGTAAAAACGAAAAGTTAACACAACGTAACATATTAGCTATTTGCTAAAAGAGAGCAGCGCCTGCATTTTTATATTTACAAGAACTGAGTAGTGGCTGCTAAAATAAACCGATGTAGGTTTTTAGTAAGGTAGAAAGTAACTCTCTTTCTTCTTTCTTCCCTTGCCTCAAAAAGTTCAACACAAATAACTGAATCCCACTTAGGACAGAAGTTTTTCAGCTGTTCGGTCCTGTTCAGGTCAAACAACCAAGAGGGGTTAAACAGATTACCCGCCCCGCCTTTACATTATTATATTGCCAAATACTCTGCTTCCTGCAAACGGGACCAAAACTCCTTCTAGGAGGGTTACCCTTCCAGGGAAAGTCCTAGGAAACTGTCTGGACCTACGGTACCCATCCCCCCCCCACCCCCTTGCCCTAGGTAAGAGGTTACTGTTAAAGTTGGGTTAGGGGAGGGTGGTTACAGGTGAACGGCAAGAGTACAGCAATATCCGGCTGGTTTACACAGAGGTGTTATTAAGTAAAGACCGTCAGTTTCCACTCACTTGTCTAGGATTTCCCAGAATCGAATGATTGAGGCTTTATCCAGATGTCTTTTATTTCGGCTGATCTAAGGGTGAAAGACACGATACAATATTTTCACGCATTGCCAAGGACAGCATAAGCAAAGAAAGGGAAGAAGTCTGTATTAAGGTGATGTTACACGAGACGATTTGCTACAACGATTTTTAAGGCAACAATATGGGAACAATGTTGTGCCAACTCGAAAAAATCTCGCAACAATGTTGCATCGCTCTGTTCATCGTGGTTGCGAGTTTTTACAATGCAGTTTGCCGTAACCTGAAAGATGTCCAAAGTAACGGTGGATAGTGACAGCATTTTTTCAAGCCTCTTTTAAAGAGCTAACAGAAGAAAAGGTCACCAATTCATAAGCTTAATGCTAAACTTGTGTACGCAATTAGAAAATGAAGCAAACCACAACATGCGCTCTGATCAGTCGTTCTCGTTTACTAAGATAAGCTCTACCCGTAGAACTGGTCCCCTATATCTTACCATGATCGCTATGATCCTATTGTCTTAATCACAGAGAAGAAAAAAATTCTCAACCAGAGTTTCAGCACCCATGCTAAAAGAGAAGGTGGTCATGACAACAGATTTGTCCACAGAAGGTTTGTTGGTAGAGTTGGTGGTACGTCCTCAGTCCCTGTACGGCGTTTTCCCAGGCCTTCTCGGTCAATTCACACTTCTTCGCTTGGACCACGTGACCCGAAACGAGTTGGCCGCGCGGAATAATGAGGCCTAGGGACTAGGCAAGGTGATAGGACAAGTAAAAAAGAGGCTCACAGAGTAGTGCCAGCAGGAACTTACCGTTAACACCTGCACATCCCATTTCTGCACATTAGTGTCTGTCTTCATTTCATCGTACTTTAGATAGAAACCTTTCACTACGAAATAAAGTTTACAACTCAATGATTGCAAATGATCCGGTAAGGAAATCCAAGGAGTGTCGAGTATAACGACATTATTACAGCCCAGCTCACGAAGACGTGCAAAAAGTATATGAAACCAGCTAAAGGAATTGAAAACAAAACTCTCTGGTTGTGAAATACAATGAAAATAATTTGCCTCGGTTCTTAACGTCCTAAACAGAGTCAAATTTAGAAGGACTTGTATGGAGTGACCAGCGCATAACTGGGCTAATATCTTAAGAGACAATTTGCCCCAAAATGCTAGTTTTCGGCATGTTGGCCTTTTAGATGTTTTTCTTGCTGAATATCCCGACAAGTCCAATAATTTCAGAAAAATAATTTTTATGATGTCACACTTCATGAATCTATTTGTGATAAAAAAATTAATATTTTCTATCATTTAGATAATCAACATAGACATTTCACATTTACTGTACTGGATGACCTCCCTCGATAGGAGTTACCCAAAACTCAAAAGTAAAGCATTTGAAAAGATAATCTAGAAAGCATTAGGTTCGAATCCCTTCAAAGATTCTATTTCTTTTGCAGCGACAGGTGTTCCTAAATACTTCAGTGTACATGCGCGCAGTGGATTATCATTCATTAGTAATCATAACATTAAGACAGAGAACAACTCACTTTTGGTGAAAATGTCGACTGGTGAGGTGTATGGCCACCCTTTGAACTGCCATGCAGGCCCTTGAACAAATACAGCTACCACACGATTCCTGCCGCGGACAATAAATAAACGAACAAAAAAAACATAGTAAAGACAGCCTTATAGAGAGGCTTGATAAATCTCCATCAATTATAATCTACAATCGGCGACAAAATGAGTTGAGACACTTCTCCCAAAAGTGGGCTTTTTTACGTTTTATGAACTTCAAAAGGAGGAAATATAGCTTTCCTCCCCCATCCCCTCCGTGCAATGTTGTGCCCTTGTTCTAGCTACCTATAGAAAACAACAAACACCCCAACTTTGAATGGAGGGGACAGGGGAGGGGTGCGGATTCGTTTGTTCTCCGAAGTCACCCTATTTAAGTACAATGTCTCAACAATTTTGTCGCCGATTGTAGCCTGCAGTGAAGGCATATTTTTGGGTGGCGAGCACGCGCTTAGTATTTTAAGGGAATTTTTTGCGTGGAGTCACCATCTTGGATTATCAATGACGAGGGAGACTGGGGCAGTGCACTTCCGGTCTTCTGTTAGGTCTTTTGATCTTCTGTGGTCAACTGTCGTCAAACTTCAGGGGCTGACTCGTTCCCAGTTGTCTCTCATTTCTCTGTAGGTGGCGCGCAGGGTTAGATGGGAAGGAGGAAAGCGAGGGAGAGAGACTTCTTCTCTTCTCCCTTTCCATCACCCCCTGCTCCCGCTACCGTGCTTGTCACCAAGACGACTGGCGGGGATCGAGTCAGCTTCTAAGGCCAGCGGAAATAACTGACCAAGATAATGTAAAAAACGATAGCAAGCAAATATAAATAAAATATTGTTCTTAGTAAAATGTTCTTCATTCTCCCAAAGAAATTAGCTTCTTTACTGTTAAAATTCTTCATAGACGGATAAAATTGCCTTCACAAATGGCGTCTTGAAGAGAAGTGCAATCATTACTTTTTATTAAAACTATATATCGTTTCTCAACAAGTCTAACACAAGCTCGGCTCTCAACTTGTATTGAACTCGTGATTGTTTACCATTTGCATGGGCAGACCGCAACCTCGTTCTCAGGTTTTCTCTCCCTGGGAACGAGGTTGGGGCAGACCGGTCGGTTCACGGTTTGGTTAACTGGTAAGCAAAATTCAGGACTGGTAAATTTCGCCACGAAATCGCGTCTATCATTTGTACAAATAAGTTCCACTGACCGAAAGACGGCCACGAAGGCATGAGACTGGTACCAAAGATGGCTTTAAATCTATGGGACACGAATTTCCGTTTAAAACATACCGTCCGGAAAAACAGGACTACTTTTTCATATTCTCCATTGCTCTCGCAAACGACCTAAAACGTCCTCTGCCACTTACTTTCCAACCGGATTTGCCGGAAGCTTTTTGAAGATGGTAAACAACCTATTAAACACCCTTGTCATTTTACTTACCAGTCGTTAGGTTGTAGACGTGTAGGGTTATCTATAACCCTGTATGGTACAGTCACAGTAGTGGGTGTGGCCCCAGGTGCAGCTTGCGCTTGATGAATTTCTTTCCTTCGCTGAATAAGAACCTCATTTTCACGTCTTGCCCCTTGGCTCTTCTTTTCTTCAGAACTGATAAATCTATAAGACAATTAGAAGTAAGTTGAAGAATGTTAGGGCTATGTCCACAGGACTCCCCTGATACAATGAGTGTCCCGACTCAAAGCAATGAGTGCAGTCTCCAGAGAGACTCTTGGCCCGGTTCAAACGTTGCATTTTACGCGGAGAACAATTTCAAGAAAAACCTCGGGAACCAGGGTAGCACTTAAACATTTCACATGTGCCAAATCTAATGAAAATGGGCAAGAACAACAGACTTTTCTCACTGCCATGTAAATTCGAAACAATTTTATGAAATGCGACGTTACAACCTGGTCTTAGTTTGTTAATGGATATCATTCTTGCGCAAAGAGTAAAGTAGATGTTGTGTTGCATAACACTTAAAACACAAATACTGGGACAGAAAACTGACTCCGAGATGGAATTTGAGTGCTAGAAGTTGTCTTCCCATTAAGCTTTAAAGCTAAGTTGGCAGAGCGATGATAAAACTAATCAGTAATTTGTTAGCCTGCGTAGCAATCAGATTGCCTTTCATTTTACACCCTGTTCATACTCTAAAAAGTACTTCGAAAAGAATTCATTTTTGCTTAATTGTATTAGACACCTAAGCATATGAATAGAATATACACATGACAAAGCTTGTATTTTTATCAGTTTTGAAGTACATAGAACTCTCTAGCCCCTAATAGTCTAGTAATAAGGAAAAAACGAACTCACTTGAAATCCTGTAAAAGATCCTGAGCATTGTAAAGTGTTATCAGAGAGGTCGTGCCAGCTGGGATTATAATTATTGGTGTGCGTGATTCTGGAAGAAAGTGGTCATTTTACGGTTTTAGCGTGATAAAACTACAGGAGAGGACTTACAGGCGGCAAAAAAAAATGGTTAGGGTCATTTCATTTAAAAAGAATATAATTTGATTACGTGAAAATTCTAGCTATGTTATAAAAGAGTTTTGAAAAGACTTATTAATGGATCATCACTACATATATAAGCCTGTTTTTAACCGCAGCTTGTTGAGCTCAGTCGGTAGAGCGCGTGACTGTAGAGTGGGAGGTCCTGGGTTTGATTCCCTGGCCTGGACCAATACTCAGGTTCTTAAAATAACTGAGTAATGAAGGTACTGCCTTGACTAGACCTTTAAGTGGCTAGGATGACCAAGTAAAATGGTGGCTTTGTCGCCATTTACAGGGGAGGTAAAAATAGTGTCCTCAATTAGCAATTTCATGCTAAAGTGAATACACTGTACATTGACACTCAAGTAAAGATCTTATCTTATCTTTAAAAGTTGGAGTTGTACAGATGATCAAATTTTCCTACCTCGTTTAGCAGGCTTTTGTGGAACTGATGGAAAAAAATACATATAAACAATATTGTTAGTTGCTTCTTCAACATGTATTATCAAAAGAACTGTTGACTCCAAAATCACCAAAGAGCTGAGATGTTTCTACTAGTGTCCAATACTCACCAGGTCTGGGTGTCCGGCTGGGTTGTGTATGAGGTGAAGGACTGGGTAAGACTTTCCTTGCTGGCTTCTGGACACCTTCCTGAAGAACAAAAAGGATAATGTACAGTCAGCAATACATTTCATTCATTCAAAGCTGCTCTAAACAAGTAACAGACAAGGAGAGGAGAGAATGACGACACGTTTTTAAGGCTATGCAACTCTGCTGAGGTCCATACTTTGAGCTTGGGCTACCTGTGGCTACCATTCCACTACTCCAACCACACACTTTCAGAAAAATTCTAATTAAAGGATAATCTCGCACATTATAGCATTTATAGATCTATACAATAATTTATTCAAAAATACATTAATAATTCATAAAGAAAAAACAAAAGAAATTGATGTTTAATGAGTGTCTATATCTGATAAAGACACGGCTAAACTTTACATCCAGTTTTTAAGACCAAAATAACCCCAAATCTAAATATACTTGCTGTCGTGGTTTCACCTCAAGTTTTTAAGCCTGATAATACACTTGAAAACTGCAAAAGTTTTCAAATAATCACCTTCACAGACTCTAAACTGAGACCGTGATATGTTCCCATTGTGTCAATCTTGAATCCCTCAGTTTCTATGGACAAAAAAGAAAGAACAATCAATAATGCTATACTAGTAATAACCAAAGGTTACGGAGTGCGGGTGACAATGATTGAAAGTCAAAATGCTTTTGCTCTGTATAATGTACATGTAGACATGGCTACATTAAATACCTTCTTTTCCTCTAAATCTCTCTTGATCGTATCTGTTGTATGGAACTGGTGTTGCTGGCTTCTTCCTGGCCTCCTTTTTGGATGAAAGTAAGCAAATTTAAAAGATGACTTACAGTAGCTAGAAGACCTCTAGGTGCAGGTGAATGAAGCAAGACTATTGTTGTAACAGGGTTGCCAGTCTTTCAAATAAAGAAAATTCCAAATAAATACAGAGATGATCATCACAAATAAATATGCAACTTATGAAGTTGAGAAAAGAAAGCCTGAATGTGGGGATTCAAAGACTAAAAATTCCCTGATCAATAAAATATTCACAGACGTCACACTTCTTAATATCTTTAGCATCTTGTGCAGGCCATGAAAAGTCATTGTTGGTTATAATATTAATTACTTGTTTTTTCTAGGAACTTGGGTGGTTTTGTATTAAAATTTCATCAACTGCAAAGAAATGCCTTTCTGTAATCTTCACAAAATCCTGAAAATAGAATTACATCTGTACTTCTTTTCACGTCTTTGTCAAGATCCAAGTTTTTTCTGTCTTTTTTCTTGAACTTGTAAATAATTATGTTTTTAAGTGAAAAATAATGCAGGAGTATGATAACTTACAGCAGATGAAAAGGGATCCTGGTTTTGTAGTTGCTTGACTTTTCCTTCTTCCTGGGCTTTCACTGATTGAAGAATGGCTAGCACATTCTTTAGAAATTGCTAAAAAATAAATTGCAAGGAATGAATTTGTTGTTGCGATCAACAATCTACAATAATGGAGGAGGGGGGGATAATTATCAGAAATGAAAAATAGTCAATTATTGATGCGATGACAAACCTTGCCAGAACTTTGCAGGACAGAAGTTCGTGTTCGTAAAGGCCGCTCACGACTAACGATGTCTCTTGTTACATCAACTTCTGCATCCACAAAAAATCTTTGTTCCTAAAAATTTATAAATCAATATCATTTCCAAAGACCACCAAAAGGCAAAACAGTGTGTGTATATAATGTAATGCAGGAGCAAGCATCATTTAAGATTTAACTGCCTAAATCTTCCCTCCCTTCCCTTCCCTCCCCTCCCTAGTCATTGTTTCCATACCAAGACGCCTGCTTCCAGGTCATCATCCACTTTAATGGTTGTCCGTTTCTTTGCCAGACGCTTGGCTTTGATGGCTGCAATTTTCTCAACAGACATAGCATCACTCAGGGACCTACATTATGTAAGGTAAAAACAACAAAACAAGAATAACATTAAAAACAAGAATAGTATTTTATTATTGTGAGGCAGATTCCAAAAAGAACCTGATACATGTTTACAACGTATACAGTGTAAATGTACATGTAGTAAACCTTGATTAAAGTTAAATAGCAATAAATTATTATTGATTATGATGAACCATTCCACTTAGGTATTCCCTAATTATATCATTTTATGAGAATCTGAAGGCAGTAGAACAAACACTAGAAGTACATGACTACAAAAAAAGCTTACCTTGACACTATTCACAATGCTTGAAAACAAAGTGCGAAAGCTAGAACCCCCTGCTAATGCTTATAAATAACCACACTGGGGAGTAATGGTCCCTAGGGGTGACAATAAAATAGCCGCAAAGCCTTTACTCCACTTATTCTCAGATCAGTGGCAAGAAGGAAAACAGAACAGCCCACCCTCCCACTTGCACACTGAAAATTTGTGCGGTTGGCCTAATGCCATATTCTATTTCCTCTGAAGGTGCTTGGTCAACTCTACCATAACTGAATATATTCAGCAAGTGCAAGGTGAGAGCGTTGTAATAGAATACTGTTTGAAATACTCTAAACAAAAGCTTTCAGTCCATATGGTAACAAAATTAGCAGCACCTTTTGTTTGGATGTCTACTTCTGACCTGAATGCAGGTGTTAAATTAGCACACAGAATGACATTAAATTTGAATACAGTCCACTTACCGGATCTGCTCTGTGGTGACAGTACCCTCTTTGTGCCCTTCAAGACGAGCCTCCAACCTTTTCTATTAATCAAAAAAGAAAATCAATATGCAGATACTCTGTAAATTGATGCCTGGCATCCATGTTTTGCAATAATAAGCAGGCTAATGGCAGTAGCAGGTACATTTACACACTATAGCAATTACGGCTTTATGCTGTGTGAGTCTCACGTAACTTTTCAGAGGTTAAGTGTAAGGTAGCTGGCAAATACTACACTTTAAGTGGCAAAATTGCTGGTTGCGAGCTCATTTTGAGTGGCATACATATCCATGATTGTATGTACTCTAATGCAACAATTCTGTCTGAGCAGTACACTAAGGTACTTTCATAGGAAACAAAAAAAAGATAGAACCAACAGAACTTCTTATGTAGCTGTTCAATGAACCCACAAACTTATTTCCTATACCTGACTTCTTAAAAACATTTAGTGTTAGCCCTAGTCTACAGAATCAAGGACTTTTAAGGCATGCTCTGCTCCCCACTACCAAATCAATCACTTTGTTTGAAATTTGTGGATCTCCTCATTATTATTTATTTCGCAAAAAGTTGTAGTTATTTATTACGTATGTTATGGGTTAAATTTGATTTCAGGTTAATTTTGATTTTAATAACCTAGAATGGATTATCAATTTCCAATTTCTCCTAGCCCTAGAAGACAAAGGAAACTGAAAATGAACCTGGTTAAAAAATTTTAACCTGAAATCAAATTCGACCAGTAAATTGTACATTGTATCTGAAGTGTTACCTTATCCAGTCTTAACTGTTCTGTCTGAAAAAGAGAAATCAACAGCAACATGTTAAAGTACGGTTATCACAATGTTTTACAAGCTAAGTAAGAATTGCTACAACAAGAAGATTTACAATTTACTCAGGCAATAGTAGGGAAGATTTTACACTGAAATTTATAGGCTCTTCTCAATACACTGACCTCAACTCTTGGCTTTTTAAACTCTCCACCAACTGCGTCATCTCCTGGTCTTTTTGCTGTCATGTAAATAAAACAATTATTTATATGACAACAACCACAAAGTAACTGCTACTGCAAAGCAAGTGATCTTTAGCTGCAGTAAGGCAGAAGATCTTAATTGGGAATTGAGTCATGTTCTCTTTTGTTTCATAAACATTTCACTAAAATTTATTTCATTGCCCAGGGGTTTCAATAAGCACTAACAGCCGATGAAAAGCGTCAGCCATTTTGCTCAGAGAAGTTGGCTACTTTTTTCTAGAAAGAAGAAGGAACTACTTTGAATAACGTTATACACAAAAAGTATATCAAAATCTGAATGGAAACATTATTATGATGTGTTTTTCTTCCAGCCTATGACAATAATTATTGTGATTTCATACTGGCCAATAAACATCATTTTCGGATGTGGGGTTGTCAATAAAGTGTCACATTCCAGCTACAAAAACAACAGAGATAAAACCTCTAAGCCCTCATAGCAAAACTCACTAGATAGTCAGAGTACTAAGAATGAGCTTCCTTTTTGGGGAGATGGAATTGAAAGTCTTGTCTGAATTTCAAAATCATTTTCAAAACCAGAATGCTTCTAATATTTCCATGTAGCTAAAGAACACCATTGCCTTAAGGAAACCAGCAGTACGTAGCAAACACATCACAATCAGTAACAAGGTAATTATCGTGAGAAGAAGAATTAACAAACCCAATCATTTAAAGCACTTCAGCACTAATGCAGAGGTCATGGGTTCACAGGGCTGTACCAGCAGCACCTGGTGGTCCCTAGCTCCTTACTCTTTCTCTTGGGTGACAGGAAGATCTTAGTTTGTTTATACATTGTACAAATTTATTATGCTGAGCACCCTGGATTTCTCAACTTAAGAGCATTGGGCTCCCTTCATTTTCTATTAGAGCACAGCCATGGTTTGAATCCCACTGAGGCCCGAATCTTTTTTTTTTCACACTGATTTGCAATTGCTTAAATTGCTGTTACAAGTGCAATGATCATATCTTTCATTTATATTTTTTTATTTCCACAGTCCACATCACTATCATTCCATGTTTCATTCATTTTGCAGGTTAAGATAAACTGTACAAATTGGCCCACTCCCAATGTATGGGTCTTCACAGCTCAGTTGCACGGTTTGAGCTAGGATTTGATCACTAGGGGACAATTTGTCCCCTTGGCTAAAATTTTGGGGGACATTTTCATTTTTAGGGGGACAGAAATTTGTACACCCTTCCTTCTAAGCAGGGCTTCTGATAGGTCTCGGACGAAAAAGTCAAATTTCGCGGGATTTTTAGGGACAAATTCGCGGAAAAATCGGCCGATTTCGCGGGAGTTTTTGGGGCAAACTTTGCCGAAAAGCAATCGGTAAAAAACGGCCAATTTTGTGGTTATTTTTCAAGGCAAATTTCGCCAGAAATCGATCGGTTTTGGGTTGATCAGACCAGCCTTTTTAATGTTTTCCTAACAGAGGTCATCATTTGCTCTTTCAACAACAATACCCTCCAGAAATGAACCAATGGCAAAGCCTTTAACATGATGGCTAGTGCCCAGCTTTTCGCAACATAATCTGTTTGCACGTTTTCAGTGACGAAGTTCCAAGATAAATTTGCAAGTTTACGGCAAGTAAATAGCCCCTATAGCTGAAATAAGTTTCAAATATGTTGTACAGACATGCATTTGATAAGATTTCTACCGAATTTCGCGGTATTTTTCGTGTTTTTGTGAATTTCACGGCTCCTCGACCGTGCGAAAAATCAGAAGCCCTGTCTTAGATTTCCGACAAAAATAGCAGTAGAGCGTGACTGAAACGTAACTTTGGAATGAACTTTAAAGGTGCGATAAAATATACTTTCCACATTCTGTTTCAGCTTGCAACTTCTGTACCGAAATAAATCTCTTCGTGTGTGCTTCCTTTCAAGTTTTTTCCCTAAATTTTGAAGGGGACAAATTGTCCCCTTGGCCGTTTTTTAAAGGGACAATTCCAATTGCAGTGCCGGATTGGCGCAATGGCGTGGCCTGGCTCAAACCCTGCAGTTGTTAGAGCGCTGCAGAGCTAATGCAGAGCGATGGGTTTGAATCCTGTTATAGCCCCGAAAACTTTTTCGTGTTAATTTGCAATTGCTTCTATTACAACTGTGATGATCATCATATCTTGACTTAAATTTGTATTTCTGCAGTTCACATCATCATCTTCAAGCCCAATCATATTAGTTGTTTACACTCTGGCATTTATGCATGTATATATACATGTAATGTTACCTTGTGCTTGAGCAATTGCAGAGCGCTGGTTTGGCATCTCTAGTGGAACACTTTTGTCAATGCTACTTGATGTATCTAAAAATCCAAATATACAGAGTAGACAGTAAATTACTAAAACACAACTCATATTACAGTGTACGTCTCACATAAAATCTTACACGATAAGGCAACACACACAATCACTGCTAATAAAATGATAGCCTCCACACTCCTGCTGTATTTATTTCATGGAGAAAACAGCTTTTTTCAAATTAGATAACCAAAACGATTATTAGTTTGTTTTTGTGGATATACACTTAGCTGCTGTGCATGTAGCTACTGTAGAGGGACACCATTCATAATAAGCTCTAGATTTTTAATCTTTAGTTTTGCTACATTTGCTTAGTTTCCCATGTACATAAAGACTAACAGTGCTAAAGCCTACATGTGTCACAAAAAATTTTAATGCAATTTTTTTTTCGTTTATCAAAAATTAAAGAAAATCTAGCAAGTACACATATTCAATTTAATAACAGCTAAGAACTTCACCTGTCTCTCCATTGAGGTAGCTGAGTAATCCCTAAAACAAACAATTATGTGAAGTTATTTTTGTTTGTACATTACTATTTTTCCGCAAAATGAGGACCTTGGATAGCCCTGCAGCAGCAGCAGATGAACTAAACTCATCATAATGTCTGTTGATGAGACTTGTGAAAAAGAGGAGAAGTCTTATCACATTGCCATGGTGGAAGAATGGTGGATGTCAACAAGCCATAGTCTTGCAAATATGTCAGAAAAAATGAAGACATTGATATGTATGACTTTCATGTGCATGATTGCACTCAGGAACAAAACAGTAGTCCATACTTTTCTTCCATCGCTCAACAACACAATGGCCGTCTCTATCAAGAAAGATTATTGAGATCCAGAAATTTTGAAATCATCAGAGGAGTCACCCTGCCAGCAGAGCTTACAATGTATCTTTTATGTGGTTAAATTTAGGGTAGTCAAGAAAGACTCTGCAAGAGTCGCAAAAGAGAGACTTTGAATTAAGTAATATCTTTGTTGAGCATGCATTGCATGTTGCTTGGATACAGTTTTCAACCCAAGTCAAATAGCTGTGCAATTTGTACAGCAGGTTCAGTAATGAAACAGATGTTCATACTCGCAAAAACCAGTTTCACTGTCTGCTGAGAGAAAACAAGATCGAGTAGTCCAAAAGTTCTTCAACAGCTTGACAAGATCCAGGCAGGGCCTGCTTTTCTCTTCCTCTAACAAGAAAAACACAAAAAGAGGCTAAGCTCGCAGGGTGCAGGGCGAGGTAGTCAGGAGGAAATGAACATGTTTTGAATCTTGCGACTCTGATTCTCTCCATCATTAAACGTTTTATTTTCACAAAGTTGTTTAGTGCTTTTTATGAGAGCCTGTCAATGTAATTGCCGTATCTGTTCTGTACCAAGGGCACACAGTGTAAAATTAATGAAATTTATTGTTTTGAAAAATCAACAACAAAATTTCTCTCAGACACAGCATCTATCAAAGCCAAGCATTATCTTATAAAAAAATAAACCACCAAAAATACAGACCTTTCTGTCTGGTAACCTCACAACAGGAATCTTTGTTCCCTAAAACGATAACAAAACAAACAGTAAATTAATCTGGCAGATGCAAATTCATTTAGCCAATTCAGGTTACGCTTTCTCTGAAGAACAAGAACAGCAAACTAATAATCTCACTCTAGCAAAAGCTGTAAAATATGAGGGATAATCAATGCTTCCATGAAAAAAATTGTCAGATCAGTAACTGGTATTATCTCATTGGCGGGTATTAATTTACCGAACGATAACTCCAAATGCAACCTTAATAAAAGCATATTTGATGGGGCACCATAAACGATTAAACTACGACTATTTAGTTGGTATGATTTTTTTCATAAACTGGATCAATTGAAGCAAGAGAGAGCTTTAACTTCAAGCTACAGCTGTAACGTACCTTAGCACTGAAAATTAGGCTTAAGCTTAGTTTTTGTACAGCTTGTAATTGCACGTAAAATTAAAATATTGGCTTACCGCTGCACGCTGTACGTAGATTGGATGAGATAAGTGAACATTTTTCAAAAGGAATAACAAAGACTCCAACGTATAATACTCCTTCGGCTGGGATCTGAATGAAAGTTAAGTTCACAAATGAGACTTGTTTGGGTACACAACCGACCAATATTCTTTCACTTTTCCGAGAGGTCAAACGGCATTCTACTCACTTGAAGATGACATAATTTGTTTTTGCAGCCCTCAAGAATGAAAACTCGTCAAATATGATTTCATCTGCTCTTTCTATAATCTCCTTCTTGTTGATGTTGTACTGGCGAAGAAGCGACAATGGATCCGCCATCTTCTTCACTCACTCGCGTTCCGTTCGAACTCGTCCCCAGGTCGTCTCGTTTTCCAATATTACCCACTGTTCCCACCGCAGACCCGCGGAATGCGATCAGGGCTCAAATTTTTTCACGTAGTACGACCACCTTTGCAGAACTTTGTGTATTTTTGCTGATCAGGTCTTCTATAGATCCTACGTTCTGCGGCATATGCGTTTGCGGTCCTTTGCAGTTTAAACTTCAATTTATTAGTTATATTGGGGCTGTAAGGTCTTCTATAGATCCGATATGCGGTTCCTTTTTGCGTGGTTTTGCCCATGTTTCTAAGGTTGGTTTTGTTCATCCAGTGTTCATCCTATATTTCTTTGCGAAAAATCAACACGACACTTGGAATCTTGCCCTCTCGAGATATGTCTTGATTCTGTTAGTGTTGGAGTTAAATGTCAGGGCTCTAAAACAGAGTAAACGGGTATTTTTCAGGAGAGCTTCTCTGTTTGTTGCACCGTTAACTCTGGTTAACTGACGAGCCACAAGAATGGCGTGTCTACGGCTACAACCTGCATGGTTTTAGACCACTATAGGACCCTCTCCGTATGTAGCAAGCAGCGTTGTCAATTTGATATTTACTTAGCTTTTCGTTCTCGGTCTTAGTGAAGGCCATCTTTAATTGTGAAACCAAATCATCATCTTGTATCATACGAACGCCGAATCCAATAATTGTCTTATTATTCAAAAAGTGCCCGTCCTCAAAACTCCGCAAATTCAGGATAAAATGGGATGTCTAGTCTAGTAGATGTTTTTTAAATGCAGATGTTTTCCGTCGAGTTGTAATTTTGCTGTTATTTTTACTTTTTAGGCAGTAGTTAGGCTGTTTCATTTTCACAAAATGTGTGAAACTTTCCATTTCTTTAGCAAGCTGAGCAAACACAACTTCCTCCCTAGGGCTTCTCTGTTACCGAGCCTTTTCTGGTTGTTAGCCTACACCAGTGATGTCATTTTATCGGATATCGCAAACGTCTTCCAAACCCGGGGGTACTTGGGTTAATGTTTGCTGGGTATGTGCCGCTGGCCCCTTAGAGCCCCTACCCCATTATAGTCTATTTTTTGGCCAATTATAGACCCCATCTTAGTCACTTTTTGGAAAATGTAATTTTCGCGATCCCAACTTAGTCACTTTCTGTTTATGCATCCTGACCTTATCAATGTGGTTTCAAGCGGCGGAATGTAATGCGGTCAGTGCGAGCTTATAGTTAAATTTAATAAACAACAACTTTCTGATTTTATAACCGAAAATCTTCCCATTTTGAATCCCTCCTTACCCCCAAAATCCTAAAATTTGCGACCCCATTCTAGTAAATCTATTGAAAATGCGACCCCATTATAGTCACTCCAGTCGTGAAAATGCGACCCCATCCAGCGGCACATCCCCATTAGCCTCTTGTAAGGGAGTACTCCCCCCCCACCCCCCGGGCTTCCAAATCAGATGAAAGCTAGCGGGTAATGAATGAAATTACCCGGCGGATTTGAGCCAACCAGAAAATTAGAAATATTAGAAATGAATAATAAGTAGAATTGTGCATATCTGGAAAGGTGTTAACCGCCGAGACCGAAGGCGATATGCCGAGATAACAGCCAACATGCTCCGTCCAGGTTAAATTTGAGGACAAAGTTACATCCAAGTAAGTGAAGTGTCTAACGCCCTCAACGTCTTTGTCAAATACTGTAACTGAGACAGATATAGCGGTGGCAGCGCGTGCAATTTGCGATTGTGGCCGACAAGCATGCATGAACTCGTTCTTCTCCATATTAAGATGTCTATTGTCAAGTTAAACACAGGTTACAGGAAGGTTACAGGCTCCTGTACTATAGCTGAAAAATGTGATCACTTGGTGGTGTGGACGGCCGGCTCGACGGACGGACGGACGGTCACGTGGCTCTAAAATTGCTCCAACCTCGTGCCCAGGGTCTTTTCGTTTTCCAATATGGAGAGCTGCTTGAGCCGATCGCATGCAAAAACTTGACATGGCTACAGTTGCCTCTGGCTCATACAATATACTTTTCTTCACTCTTTTGCTGATTCTTAACTTTTTAGGATCACTATCATCGGAAGTGATTTTGGTTAAGGACAATTTGTTCACCACGGAGGAGATTCGAGATATGAAGACTTTGCTGTCGCATGAGGAAACATTCTGGGTATTCAAACCGATTAGTCAATTAAAAGAGAGTTCAAATGATATTCCCAATGATATCCAGGGCAGTTTATCACGAGCCAGACAAGCTAACACCTGCTTCTCTTGGACTACTAACCTACCTCTTGACAGTTTTAAAAATTCTTCACCTTGGAGGAAACTTACAGAAACACTTTCGTCAAACTTTGAAGCAAACGGTGATTACAAGATACTGGGATTTGAAGGAAAAATTAACGTTAGAGGAACCCATCTGTGTGGTGAGAAGTGGATTGTCAATGAACAAGATTTTGAGAGCTTTGTGGCTATTATTTTTCTTGTAGATTGGAAACGCAATAGTTATGGTGAATTGGTTATTTACAATAATAAAGGGGAAATACTGAAAGCTGTGTATCCCAAAGAGGGTAGACTTGTAGTCTTTCCTTCCGCTCTTGAACATGTTCTCAAGCCACCGGCAAATGACCTCTCTGCAGGACGCTTGTACGTAATGAAATTCCACATATCAGTGTCTGGTAAAACACAGAAAATTGGCACCACAGCAGGGGAAAAGGCCGTTGGTTTTAGTCAATACATTCCCAGTTTTAAACATCTGACCAAAGCTGATGCTTTTAGTGTGGAAAAGGAAGACGTTAAACAGTTTGTTACTAGAAATTTTACCACCAGTGACGGTCGACACATTGTTGTCTTGGATGATATTATTCCTGCAAAAGAGCTTGATGCTCTGAGGTATACAATCATTAATGGTGGATACAATGACAATGCCGCAGGTGTGGATAGTACAGATAATGTGCAGTGGATAATGGCATTTGAAGTTGAGGAGTTTGTACAAACCTCTTTATGGCAACTAGCCAGTCAAATTATAAGAGCTGTTTCGGGTAAAGAAGGCTACTACCCTTATGACATTGGTTGCAATAATATACAGAATATGGACACCACAACCATTCACACAGACTGCGCATCTCATGAGAATGAGTTTACCCTGCTGATTTATCTCAATCAAAATTGGACTGAAAACCACCATGGTGAAACAGTATTCTTTAATGATGAGGAGAGTGAAGTTATATGTGCTGTTAGACCAAAATATGGGCGTGTTGCTGTTTTTCATGGGACAATTCCTCATAGCGCTCGGCCACCACCAGTGACATTTGCAGGTACGCTTTCAAATAAGAAGTGACAACTTCTGCTGCTGAAATTTACTAGTGGTTAGGGACAGAATGTTGTGTCATTATTGTTAAGCAACATAGTCTCAACTCTCAATGTCAAAGGCCTGCAATACCTTTCTGGTTTGTTGCGTGCACGTTTTATGAAAACCTTTCTTGAAATAGCTGTACATTTTTGTCCTGGATCAGGGCTAGGCTCTATTAGTTTTTTTTATTATTTTGTTTTCTCTTTTGGTTAGAGGGAAAGTGATGTAAAAATAAACCCATCCCCAAATCTGAGTTATCAATATTACTGACTTCCTGTTATTTTTCCCTCTGGTACTTAAGGTAATTCCCTGTAAAGGGATGCACTTTCTGGATTTTTTTCCAACTTGGCACAAAATTAGATGGTCAAGTATAGGACGTTGAAAAACTGTGATAAAAAGATAGGATCCCACTGCTTGTTTTTGCCTTGCTGGCCCATTTTATATTACTGGTGCTTTTTACTGAGTTGCGTGCAAACTGTTTGAACTTGGACAACCCTAAAAATAAGCCCTTAAAAATTGTTATCATGCAGCAAAACCCATAAATATTTGGGAAACTGAGAACCTTTTATTATATGAAATTGCCTGAATTCTTGCAAACAGTGTAAGAAAACTGAACAGCAAGATCAACTCGTTCTCTCCTATGGCTCCAAATGCAGCATTTCGGTGTCATTTATGATAAACAATCCAACTTCTACCATCCAAATTTTTTTCTCCTTAAAAGATATTTTTCATTTAAATATTACGAATAAATAACACTAATAAAGAAGGCAAGTCAGCATGCTTGTTTCATTAGAAGATGACAAGAAAGCCGGGGAAATTTTAGCTTCAAATGATCATTTTACACAGTGGGCCTGGGAAGAGTTTAAAGGACATCACCGTTTTAACCCAGAGGATCGAGTTAACAAACACTATTAACAACTTTTGGACTACAAAAGCAGCCTTTGTTACCTCACAAATTAGGCAGCTGGTAAAAATTGCCTCCACCTTTGATGTTGCAATGTCATGCACAGTAGGTGATGCACAGTGCAAAACTAGGGAAATACCTTATCCAAATGATTTTCTAGAAAGTGCAAAAAAGGCACATAGCATTATCACATTATGGATAAAATTTCTTAATATCTTATTTTCAAGTAATTCTGACTTCTGTAGATATGAAAGGACCATTTCTCTTTTCAACACTAAGTCATTTAAATGCTTATATTTTAATTTCTCATAATACTTGTTTTTTTGATGTCAGGGATGCTGAGCTGAACTTACTATAACTAACTTTTTAGTGCTTTGTTGCTGAGACTGAATTGGTTTTCAAAATATTTATGTATAGTGCTACTTCAAAGTTGAAATTTTATACATAGACTTCTCACTTTGCTGCTGTTTTCTATTATATTCTTCAGGAGCAAGATTAAGTTTTGCAGTCAAACTGTCACCATCTAAGGAAATTGCAGAAAGAAAGTCCCTTTCTGTGGAAACTGACATTTTTTATGAAGCTTTGGAGACACTACAAGGAACTGAAGTGGAAAGAGTAAGGAACATTCTAAAAGATTTAAATGAAGGAAAATTGGATGCAGAAACATTAGAAAGACTTGTACAAGAGTATGAAGAAAAGCTGCACATAGTTTAAATGGCTGAGACAACAACAAATTGATTTCTTGAACTGCTATATCTTGCTAGCTGCTAGCATAATTTACCATCCTGACTGGTGTGTGTGTGTGTGTGTGTGTGTGTGTGTGTGTTGGGCGGGGGGAAGGGGGGGTTAGGCTTAGGGTGAGAGGGGTTAGGGTTAGGGTAGGGTGCAAAGAAAGTGATTTTTAAAGCCTGGCATTCGGGCAAGCTGAAGCTAGCATATACTAACCCAAACATCATTTCAACTAGCCCCAAAAATGTTTTGATGAGCAGAATTGATTTCACAGTTCTTCTTTAATTTGAATCTCTCAAAAAACTTCACTTGCCCGTCGGGCAAGTAAAGTTCAAAATTCACTAGCCCAATAGCAAAATCCACTAGCCCCAGGCTATCGGACACTACTTTCTTTGCATGCTGGTGAGGGCTAAACGTTCCAACTCTTGTACCTTGCATTCCCAGATTGCCACACCTTTTTTCTTGGCTTACACCGTTTAGCCCTTTTTCAGTTGCAAAGTTTTACACATTGTTGCACAACTTCCCCCTATTTCTCCCGCTTCCTACTCTTATAGAACTCCCCCCACCCCCCTCCTTTCTTCTTCTGCCTCCCATCCCCCTCTGGTCTCCTTTTGTCCCAGGCTTCTACCCGAGACCACACTGTCCTTCCCCACTGGTGTATGCCCACTCAAGACTTGTAGTTTAAAGCACCGTTCTAAAACTGTTGACAAGATACTTTACAAATAATCCCCCTTGGGGCTCTTCAGTCACATTTACATGTATAAAAATAAAATAAAATATATTGCAATAAATTACTGCTAAGAAAGTATATGTTTGGTTATTAAGTGTTTAAAAGCTCGACTGACTGAGGAGCAGGCTTTTAAATTGTCTTCTTAGTTCTGCAGGTGTTAACAGCTCTTTAAATAAAGCTTCACTGACCAGTAGCAGGCAGTTTTAAACAGTGGCATTTGTAGGATATCATACTGGTGGGTAGCCAGGCTATGGATCCAACCTCATTCCCAGGGTTCTCTCCTACCCATCCCTATGGAGCGAGAGAGAACCTTGTAACGAGGTTGCCCATGGATCAATATAATGAACTAGTCTGCGTAGCATCCCAGGTTTTTTCTAGGGCAAAAGGGGGAAATTTTGAGGACGTGCGTACTCTATAAACTGATAAACACTAACAAAAAAACCTTACTGGGGTCTGTCAGGCAGGCTAATGGTGGATCGTTTGTTCACAACATTCCAGTTTGTAGACACAGCATGCAATTTGGGATTATGCATTGTTCACGAGTAAGTTAGGAACCTGGAAACTTGTAAATTTTAAATTTATTGAGAAGAAGTAAGTTTGATTATTTTTTTGACTGTTTTAAGATGTTTCTTTTTTATTTTCAATATATACAACTTCTTTTTTTACAAAGGACTTTACCCTCTCGAATTCAACGAAATACCAGTCCTTTGTATGTCTCCTGAGCAACAGAATGGGTGTATTACCATTTTTTTTTTTTTAAAACAATAAGAAATAACTTCTCAGCTCTTTATATACTAACACCAAACATACAATATAGTTTTCTTCACTCTTTTGCTGATTCTTAACTTTTTAGGATCACTATCATCGGAAGTGATTTCGGTTAAGGACAATTTGTTCACCACAGAGGTAAATTTTAAATTTATTGAGAAGTGATTTTTTTAAGATGTTAAGGACAATTATTTTGTTTTTTTTTTTTTTTTTTAAAACAATAAGAAATAACTTCTCAGCTCTTTATATACCACAAAGGTAAATTTTTTCTTCAATTTATTGAGAATCAATCATAAGTTTGATTATTTTTTTGACTGTTTTAAGATGTTTCTTTTTTATTTTCAATATATACAACTTCTTTTTTTACAAAGGACTTTACCCTCTCGAATTCAACGAAATACCAGTCCTTTGTATGTCTCCTGAGCAACAGAATGGGTGTATTGCCATTTTTTTTTTTTGTTTAAAACAATAAGAAATAATTTCGTGGCTGTTTATATACTAACACCAAACAGACTTGCTCGTGATTGCTTAGAGAGTGCACTGTTCAAACTTCAAAGGGAGTTCAATGACGAGTAAAAATATCAGCCCAATGCTAAATTAAGCTCAAGGATAAGCTGGAATTTTGTAGACCAAAAGTGGAACAGTACAGTGTTTCTTCAACTTATTTGACAAAGTCAATTTATGACAACCACACAGTAAAGGGCTTTCTAGTTTCAACCTTTTTAATCATAAGCCAATCGCATGCAAAAACTTGACATGGCTACAGTTGCCACTGGCTCATACAATATACTTTTCTTCACTCTTTTTCTGATTCTTAACTTTTTGGGATCATTATCATCGGAAGTGATTTTGGTTAAGGACAATTTGTTCACCACAGAGGAGATTCAAGATATGAAGACTTTCCTGTCGCATGAGGAAACATTCTGGGTATTCAAACGGATCAGTCAAGAGAGTTCATATGATATCCCCAATGATATCCAGGGCAGTTTATCACGAGCCAGACAAGCTAACACCTGCTTCTCTTGGACTACTAACCTACCTCTTGACAGTTTTAAAAATTCTTTACCTTGGAGGAAACTTACAGAAACACTTTCGTCAAACTTTGAAGCAAAAGGTGATTACAGGATACTGGGATTTGAAGGAAAAATTAACATCAGAGGAACCCATCTGTGTGGTGAGAAGTGGATTGTCAATGAACAAGATTTTGAGAGCTTTGTGGCTGTTATTTTTCTTGTAGATTGGAAACGCAATAGTTATGGTGAATTGGTTATTTACAGTAATAAAGGGGAAATACTGAAAGCTCTGTATCCCAAACAAGGTAGACTTGTAGTCTTTCCTTCCACTCTCGAACATGTTCTCAAGCCACCGGCAAATGACCTCTCTGCAGGACGCTTGTATGTAATGAAATTCCACATATCAGTGTCTGGTAAAACACAGAAAATTGGCACCTCAGCTGGGGAAATGGCCGTTGGTTTTAGTCAATACATTCCCAGTTTTAAACATCTGACCAAAGCTGATGCTTTTAATGCGGAAAAGGAAGACATTAAACAGTTTGTCACTAGAAATTTTACCACCAGTGACGGTCGACACATTGTTGTCTTTGATGATATTATTCCTGCAAAAGAGCTTGATGCTCTGAGGTATACAATCATTAATGGTGGATACAATGACAATGCTGCTGGTGTGGATAGTACAGATAATGTGCAGTGGATAATGGCATTTGAAGTTGAGGAGTTTGTACAAACCTCTTTATGGCAACTAGCCAGTCAAATTATAAGAGCTGTTTCAGGTAAAGAAGGCTACTACCCTTATGACATTGGTTGCAATAATATACAGAATATGGACACCACAACCATTCACACAGACTGCGCATCTCATGAGAATGAGTTTACCCTGCTGATTTATCTCAATCAAAATTGGACTGAAAACCACCATGGTGAAACAGTATTCTTTAATGATGAGGAGAGTGAAGTTATATTTGCTGTTAGACCAAAATATGGGCGTGTTGCTGTTTTTCATGGGACAATTCCTCATAGCGCTCGGCCACCACCAGTGACATTTGCGGGTACGCTTTCAAGTAAGAAGTGACAACGTCTGCTGTTGAAATTTACTAGTGGTTAGGGACAGAATGGTGTATCATTATGGTCAAGCAACATAGTCTCAACTCTCAATGTCAAAGGCCTGCAAATTTATACCTTTCTGGTTTGTCACATGTATTTTTTTACGAAAACCTTTCTTGAAATAGCTGTACATTTTTGCCATGGGTCAGAGCTATAGGCTCCATTGGTTTGTTTTCTGTTTACTTTTGGTCAGAGGGAAAGCGACATAAAACAAAACAAAAAATAAACCCTACCTCGACTTTGAGTTTTCAATATTACTGACTTCCTGTTATTTTTCCCTCTGTTACTTAAGGTAATTCCCTTTAAAAGAATGTACTTTCTGGATTTTTTGCCAACTTGGCACAAAATTATATGGTCAAGTATAGGACACTGAAAAATTGTGATAAAAAGATGGGGTCACACTGCTTGTTTTCGCACTGCTTGCCCATTGTACATTACAGGTGTTTTTTCACTGACAAGCCCAAAAATAAGGCCTTAAAAATTGTTATCATACAGCAAAACCCATAAATATTTAGGAAACGGAGAACCTTTGGTTTGTCTGAGCTGTAATCTTTCAGGAAAATTTTTTTTTTTGATGTCAGGGATGCGGAGCCGAACTTACTATAACTAACTTTTTAGTGCTTTGTTGCAGAGACTAAATTGGTTTTCAAAATATTTATGTATAGTGCTACTTCAATGTTGAAATGTTATGATTCTCACTTTGCTTCTGTTTTCTATCATATTCTTCAGGAGCAAGACTAAGTTTTGCAGTCAAAATGTCACCATCTAAGGAAATTGCAGAAAGAAAGTCCCTTTCTGTGGAAACTGACATTTTTTATGAAGCTTTGGAGACACTACAAGGAACTGAAGTGGAAAGAGTAAGGAACATTCTAAAAGATTTAAATGAAGGAAAAGTGGATGCAAAAACATTAGAAAAACTTGCACAAGAGTATGAAGAAAAGCTGCACGCAGTTGAAATGGCTGAGAGAACAACAAATTGATTTCTTGAACTGCTATATAGCTGTAGCATCATTTACCATCCTGACTGTGTGTGTGTGTCTGTGTGTGTGGGGAGGGGGGGAAGCCACACCTTTTCTCTTGGCTTACTCCCTTAGCCCTTTTTCAGTTGCAAAGGTTTAAGGATTCTTACGCGATTTCCCCCTATTTCTCCTGCTTCCTACTCTTTTAGAACTTCCCCCTCTCTTTCTTCTCCTGCCTCTCATCCCCCTCTGGTCCCCATTTCTCCCAGGTTTCTACCCTAGACCACACTGTCCTTTCCCACTGGTGTATGCCCACTCAAGACTTGTAGCTTAAAGCACCATTCTGAAGCTGTTCACAAGATACTTTACAAATAATTCCCCTTGGGGCTCTTCAGTTACCATTTACATGTATAAAAATAAAATGAAATATATTGCAAGAAAATTACGGCTAAGAAAGTATATGTTTGGTTATTAAGTGTTTAAAAGCTCTGACCGAGGAGCAGGCTTCTAAATTGTCTTCTTAGTTCTGCCAGAAGTTAACAGCTCTTTAAATAAATGCTTGCTGACCAGTGGCAGTTTTAAACAGTGGTATTTGTAGGAGATTACACTGGTGGGTTGTCAGGCTATGGATCCAACCTAATTCCCATTCTCTCCTACCCATCCCTACAGTGCGAGAGAGAACCTTGTAACGAGGTTGCCTATGGGTCAGTGATGGATTAGTCTGCGTAGCATTCCAGGTTTTTTCTAGGGCAAAGAGAGAAACTTGGTCCAGGACGTGCGCACTCTATAGACTGATAAAAACTAACCAAAAAAATTACCAACGTCTGGCAGGCAGGCTAATGGTGGATCGTTTGTTCACAACATTCCAATCTGTAGACACAGCATGCAATTTGGGATTATATATTGTTCACGAGTAAGTTAGGATCCTGGAAACTTGTAAATTTTAAGTTTATTGAGAAGAAATACGTTTATTTTTGTACTGTTTTAAGATGTTTCTTTTTTATTTTCAATAAATACAACTTCTTTTTTTACAAAGGACTTGACCCTCTCGTCTCCTGAGCAACAGCATGGGTGTATTGCCATCTTTTTCATTTTGAAACAATAAGAAATAATTTCTTAGCTGTTTATGTACTAAAACCAAACAGACTTGCACGTGATTGCTTAGAGAGTGCACTGTTCAAACTTCAAAGGGAGTTCAATGACGAGTAAAAATATCAGCGCCCTGCTAAATTAAGCTCAAGGATAAGCTGGAATTTCGACCAAAAGTGGAACAGTACGATGTTTCTTCAACTTGTTTGACAAAGTCAATTTATGACAATCACACAGTTAAAAGGTTTTTCAGTTTCGACCTTTTTAATCATTCTTTCCCTCCTGGTAGAGGCTTACTCACAGGAAAGCTTTTACTCTCCCTTACCGTGTATATCAGTGAGTTTAAGTAGCGAGTTTCAAACTGTGCTGGAGACAGTTTGCAAGCGAATTGAAGACAGACGCAAACATCACTTTTCAGTAGTGTAGTGTTTACTTAAAGAAGTGGGAAAGGTTAAACTGAAGTAATTGCCTTTTCCACATACACATATTTAATTGGTGTACACAGGTGTATGTAAATGCCCCTCTGATAAGTATTGGAAATCCAGATTGCTAAACTTGCCAAGTAAACAGTTGTTACAGGTTAAATTAGTTAAACTACATTTTTGATGGACAAGTTATGATGGTTCATTTTTCAAGAAAAATCCCAGAAAATGGTTTCTAATCAAAACATTTTCGAAGTTAATAGGTGTATAAGGTTGTTTATGCGACCATCAATCTGACCTAAGAAATTACCAGTGGATACATGTACTTGCAGGATCGTGCGGCATCAGATGATGGGCGGTCCAGCAGGCGAATTTATAAAAATAAAAATATTAAGTCAAGTCTCCCTAGAGATAACTGAATTCCACAGAATTGAAGAAATTCCCCTTAAATTAAGCAACCCCACCAGTTGGTTTTAAATGTAGTTGTACTGATCTGGATCTACTAAGTTGGTAAAGTAGAATGTACACCGGGCAGAAATCATTTCAGAAGCTTTACTTTTTTTACCCCTAGCCCCGTTTGACAGATACTGAGCTCTCTAATGAAGGGGGTTAGAATCCATTCAATGGCTCAGTATACCTGGGGCCCGTTTCTCGAAGCTCCCGGTAATTACCGGGCCCGTTAAGCTGTTTTGTTTTCCATTTTAGAAGGAAGTTTTAAAAGTTTTGAAAATTATACACTAGAATTATTAGCCGAAAAAAACGGACTTCATCCAGGTCAGAACACACCCTAAGACTTTGATTTAAAAATATGATTCCGGGCCCGTTAAACCAATTTCGGCATTGTTCAGTGGATAAAGCCGATAAAACACTATCCAGCAGATTTCAGTGGATAAAAGATTTATACAGTAGATAGCGTTATCCACCTTTTCAACAACTGGGGCCTGGATAAACGTAGTTAAGGGGAGTAAAAAATTGCAATCAACCGCACCCACGTGTCTCTCTCAAACTACAGTAGAAAAAAGAAGAAGGTTCTAGAAAAAAACGAGCGTCTCACAAAGACTACATGTAGAACTTAGGGGGCATTGGCTATGCCGGGTGGTAATTGAAGTTTATTGTTTTCAATGCAAAAGTGCTTATCTATTGAAAAGTTGTCACTTAAAAGGTTTTCTCTTGACAGGTGGCTGAGAGTAAACACTTTCTTTGTTGAACTGTCGGCCATTATGTAGGTAAATCTTTACATTAGTTATCTATACCTAACATTTAAAATGCGAAATTACTCGAGCTTTATTTAAACTTTTCGACAAAACAGTAATCACAGTTAAGTTGCAATTAAAAGCTCATGTATCATTTTGTTTGAACCACTTAAAGTGGGACAGCAGCTGACGACGACCTACAACTGAAAACAGAAATGGCTGATTACTCTGGGAACTACACAATGCCACCAGCAATAACATATCTATGGGGGTTTTACAACAACTTCACAAAACCAGATTTTACCTTTTCAGTACCAACCATTCCGCCAGGCTATAAGAACTGGGATGTACCATCCGAACCAGCTGCTCAAAATCCGATAAAGGACAGTGTTTATACCCTGGTTCTGCACATAATTCTCTTCGTTATCTGTTTATCTGAAAATACTATTACTCTCTTTATTCTGTACAGCAATATAAAAGCAGGAAAAAAGACGTTTGCTCAATTTATGCTGATTAACATCGCCTGCGTTGACATTTTAACGTCCTTTACATACTACCCCCCAATATTTGTCACGTTTGCTCATGGAGAATTCGTTTGGCTGGCACAAGGTCTTGCGGGAGATGTGTTGTGCACACTGTACAACTTTCTGCTACATCTTCCAGAAAAGGTGTTAATTCTCACTTTGGTCTCACTAGCATGCGACGTTGCGAGAAATTCTTCGCCAAAAGGTCGTCGAGAACACAGTAAAAAGTTCAGTTTAATCGTCGTTGTTTTATTTTGGATAACAGCTTCTGGCTTCTCGGCAATTTACTTCAGGATAAGCAAGGTTCAACCAAATGCGAACTATCAAGCTTACATGTGTTCCACTAAGCAAGACAGTCAAATAACTGTCACCACATTGAACTTAATTCACTCGTTTGCGTTCGTACTAACTGCGGATGCAATGTTGACGATTGTAGATGTTGTGGTGTTTATTAAAGTAAGGCGTCGGCTGAAAGAGATGAATAAGCACAAGCAAGATAAAGACAAGACTCAGTCTCGTGTAAGAATGGATCGCAAGCTTGGAATCAACTTGAAGAAAGATAATAAAGTTTACGACAGACATTCTGAATCTATAGCCGATGTCGGCCAAGAGATGCAGACTATGACAAGAGGCGGAAACGGAGCCGACGTCGTGTCAGTTGGACATTCGGAATCTTCATCTTTCAGTCCGGTGGCATCTAAAGACGACAAGGAAAAGCATGATGTTGTAGCTACCGAGAAAGACATAAATGCATCACTGGACAGAAAATCCAGGAAGACTGTTGGCAGTCAAAAGAAAGAGAGAGGAAAACAGTTTCACAATCGAAGAGATGAAGAAACCCAAGACACTCGACAACATACTCAAGAGCGTTTTAAAACAACCCAAATAGAGGCAAAAATCATGGGTGCCTTATCATCTCTTTTCGTAATTATTTCCCTAACCCAGTTGGTTTTAAAAATAGTATGTTCCTCATGCAGCGTTTATTTATTTGCTGTTGAGATTGCGGCAGAGTTGTACACAGTCATCAAACCTGGAATATACGCCATTATCGACAAAGAGTTCAGAAAAAAATACAAGCAATTTTCACCCATTGCGTGCTGTTGTTTCAGGAGGGCATGGTTCCGGGTAGCGCAGCAAGATAGAGAGACACGCCCAACGACAACTTAGTCGGCCTTGTAACATTGGTTGGCCTGTGTTCGCTTGCACAGGATCACTAACCATGCCTCAAAATAACCGCAACTTTCATTTGATTATATGTAGTATAAACTCATTAAGGTTTTTGGATAGATAACTGCAGACCAAGAGAGGTTTGCAGAACATATTTTTTTTTGCGTATATAGTTGTAATACTCGCTCTCGATTGGTCATCGCGAGTAAGACCGTACTCCTCCAAAAAAGGAAAAAATGCAATTACTTATCTTGAGTAAACATTTTTATGGGCACACAATTTTAAAAAGCCTTGGTCGCTGATGACAGGAGAGGCGTAACTTAAATTGAGAAACGTCCAGTAGTTATGAGTTTAAAAGGGGCAGCTTGGAGATTAATTATCAACTTCGTTGCGCTGTAGTGTTTTAGCGAAGTTGCTAATGCAAGCGCGTGGGGCGTGACCCCCGATAATCGTGCCGCGTGCAGTTTTCACTTTCAAGAAACCGCTGTAATGTATCTCGTACTTAGGGAGCCTGATTAAAGAAGGGAATATTTCCCCACCACTCAGTACCTTGAAGTTGTTTGTACACTCTATTGGCTCTTATACAGTTTTTTGTTGTCAAAAGTTCGGTTTCTAAATAAAACGTACGTTCTGCCTTTAGCTGGCAAATGTGGGAGGTACGTCCTTGAATAAGCGTTTAATAATAGTTCCAAAGCACTTCATAGTGAATCAGAGAAAAAACCATACTCCATACTTCAAAGGTGGAGGTTTTAAAAAGGGGGGCTTCACTGTAAAAGTTAGAAACCCATATACTCGCACGAATAGACACAACTGGGACAGTATAACCTTTACTTGATTCTACGGTAACATACAGTATAAAGTTCACAATGTGATAAAGTAAGTGATAAATCAGGTGAATATTATAGCAATAACAGTTACTGTAACAATAAAACCGATTTCCTCCAATAAAGAACTATGTACATTTTTCACTGTTTTGTCTTCTTCTTCCCCTTGCGAGTTTTCTTTTTCGTCTTAGAGTCTACGATCTGCTGAGAATAGCGTTTAATTGCGTTCCTGGACAGAACGTCTTCATCTTCACCGCTTTCTTCATCATCTGAAAACCACAATTAACTAGAAAAATGAGCAAGATATATGGTGCTCCTTTGCTAATACAAACTGTAAATGATCGATTAACGTTTTGTTTAACACAAGAAAAGTAAGCAGTTCCAAAGTAAGAGTTTTCAAAGTAAGAGTTTTGGGCACAGGTTAATAAACTATGTAAAGAGAACTTTACACTTTATACAGTGGAAGCTCGCAACGGACACTCTCGTAAGCAGAGAGCTCTATGTAAGGCCACCTTTATTCATAAAACTCCATTTTTGTCCACTCCCATACAAATTCTTAATTTGTACATTCTCGTAAGCGGCCAGCTCCAGGTACGGGCACCTTTTTGGCGTCCGGAAGATGTCTGCTAATGAAAGCTTCCACTGTATCCAACTCAATCATGGAAAGATTTCGCAAAGAACTATCACATTTGTCCGAAAATCCTAATATAGCAATCCCGGACGATAATCAAACATCGTGTTATAATCTTTAGGTACAAAATATCCTCTTTTCCTGCAATTTTGCCGTCATTGAATGCCTAAAGCACAGTAGAAATTCATTACTAACAAAAGTAACTGTTACAACCAAACTGGGTAGCATATCTCTCTATCGGTCTCCTTGAGGTCACTTTTGTCAAATATTAGTAATATAAGAAAGGTCATTAGTGTTTAGATGAGTTCTTTTACTAGTTTCTCTCCTCTTTACTTACCGTCATATACAGCTAGTCTATCAGAAGTCATGGGCAGCTTAATTCGAGTGTTATGTTGTGGGAGCTTCCCTTCCATTGTTGCACGGAACTGCAAAATAATACAAAGTAATTTGGCTTAGTTCTATTCGCATGAATAAACAAATGTCCGGCCTATAGTCACTATTTTTCATTTTTGTAAGCAGAAGCGGGAGATTGGGAACAGCCTAAGAAAGTGCCAGCCATTTGAGAGAAACTTGCAAAAGCTAAGGAAACTATTTTAAAGCTACTGTTTTCACTTTCATTGGTCAAAGTTCGAAAGTTCTTATTATTTGAAAAGTGAACACTGACTGCTTTGCAATATGTAAAAAAATCTGCTTAAAACAAAATATTAAGTTGGACGTAGTGTTTAAGTGGTCCAAAATCCCCACTCCGAATAGAATAAATCAAACGCACCCTAATCAGATGTGTCAGCACCTTCCCAAGAGGCATCAAGAATTTTCTTATTAGAGACCTCTAGATTCCAGGACGAGGGCGACCTTAACGTAAAGCTTTCTCAAAGTATTCTCAATTCTTTTATCACCGTAAAAGTTAGCAGGGTTATTTTATCGATTCCAAGGGGACAGTCAGAATATTGTTGTTGCTTAAAATGTCTACATGTCGTAGGCCCTCTTCCGCTAGCGCGCTTCCGCTTCTCGAGCGTGAGACTCTTAACTGACTCTTTACACGAGACGATTCGCAACTACGATGTTTAGCGCAACACAGCGTCGCAACATTGTTGCGACATTGTTTCGAATGGTTCCAACATTGTTCCAACATTGCAACGCTGTGTTGCGCTAAAAATCGTCGTTGCGAATCGTCCCGTGTGACATCACCTTTATGCTAAGCTCTTAGGACTGATTCACAGGTGCGACGCAAATGCAAACGACGTTCATACGTCGAACGCAAACGCAAGAAAGGCAAGATACGCAGGCGCAGTCAAGAACAGTCGAAGTTTTTTCCAAGTGGCGGACGAGAGTGAAGTCTACTTTTCGTGGTTTTCATATAAAAAAAGACTTACTTATTCGATGTAACAGAAAATGTACACTACAACTGTAAACAGTTTGAAATCCATTTCTCTATTAAATCTGAGTGTCTTTGGTGCATGTTTATAGTTCTATAGTAAAATATACGGTTTTTGGTCCCAATTCCCTTGCCACATCTTTTCAGGCAAGAGTTTTCTTCAATTTATCTGCACAACGTTTATAATATAGTACCGGATATTTCCTTGCACTCTCTGCCAATTTCTCGTCTAAAATGGAAGACGCCATCTTGCTTTCAACTTGTTTGCGCCGTAGTGCTATGGAACCGATAGAAAGTGTGTGTTTTTATCCTTGCGTTTGCATTGCATTTGCTTTGCCTCGGTTAACATGTGTGAGGCGCAAATGCAAGCGCAAGAAAATGAACATTTTTCCATTTCTTGCTCCAGCGCTTGCGTTTGCGTTTGCATTTGCGTTGAGGTAGTTCACACGTGTATTTCCTTGCTTTTGCATTTGTGTCCCACGTGTGAACCAGGCTTTACGCCATGCTAAACCGAAATGCCATGAGAAAAAACTGACTGTTCTGGAGTCTACTGCCACTACGACATTCGTAGTAGAATGACGATCTCGTTTTCCCACCAAAACGACGCTGGTTTAAGCGCGCGCACCACTTGATAGAGAAATCCTCGTCCTTGTAGTCGTGCTCTAAAGGCTTCTATAGCTTAGCCTTAATCTCGCGCAAATTTTCCAGAATAGTTTGAATGTTGTAAGTTCCTACCTCGGCATCTTCCATTTCTTTCATGACGTCATTGATATCTTTTCCTCCGAGTTCATCCATAAGTTTAAGTAGCTTTTGTTCAGACGTACCCAGCAAATCCAGAATATACTCATCCGAGGTTGGAGACAGCTGAGCCTGTGGCACGTGACCTTTAGGCTAACAGGCAAGTGCAATTTCAAGTTAACTGGGAATAATGCTAAGAGTACTTTAGTAGCCTGTACATAGACGTTGTTTCCTTTTTCTTTTCGAAAATCGACGAGCACGCAAGTAAAGCGATCGCGGAGCGCGACAACGAGGGCTAGCAGTCCTCGAAAATTCCCTCGCGCTTTTTATTTTCATACGCGCGGTCGGCGATCTCTAAATTAGAAAAAAAGAGGGTCTTTGAACAAGCTAGTGCGTTATGAGATGCGAGAGTAAATTATTAATGATAGCTGTCATTTAAATGTACGCATCTAAACGAAAGAATTTCATACAAAATTGAAATCAAATAAGTTTCAAGACTGCAAACATGAGCTGTGCGAGACAGATAGAAGAACGGGTGGGTGCGGTATGAACAGATAACAATAACTACTAAAAGAATTACAGTCAACTCTTTCTTAACGGACACCTCGCTTAAACAGACACCTAGAGATGGTCTCTGCCTTTCCTTACATCTTTTGGTGATCAGACATCTCTCTAAAAAGAACACATAGTGCCGGTCCAAAAGGTGTCCATCTTGGAGAGAACTGACTGAGAGAACAGGCCATTCACAATCACAGTTATCCAATATGCTACGTTTTTTGAATGCATATGTCTGTTTTCACAATTTCCTGGCCTTTTGTTTCTTTATATTACAGAGTTCTTACCGCTTTAAGATGCTGCAATTTATCTGCCAGATGTTCAATTCCAGCTTTAACATTAACAAGAATTTTATTGGCTCTTTCCTGACGATCCTTGGCTTCAGCATTCCTAAAAACGAATAAGCCATATAGAAATATCATGGTGACGATCAGAACCTGGATAAATTTCTTCCTAACGATTACCGTTGCAATAAACAGGGTTTAGGGATAAATAAGGTCACATAACTTATAAATTAAAAAAAAACTTTCAACAACAAAAACAAAAACCAAACAAGTCACTCTCCAGTTTTTCTTTTCTAATTTTTTAGAACTGACGCTAGAAAAGGAGAATCCAAGATGCCTCAGTTGCCTCTTACGAAAAGAAGATAGCTAGGACATAAAATTGGCCTTTATTTGTTGCCAGTGAGATGACATAACTATGAAATCTTCAAACTTACCTCTTTTCCTCTTGAGCCAGGCGCTGCTGAAATTCCTCCAACATCCGTTGTCCACTGAGATGCAAACAAGTTTACAAACTATTTAATCTCAATTCTCTCTTAGGTTTCTTTCAACCGTCGTTTTGTAATAACATGCCTAGGTACTAATTAGAGTAAAACGGTAAAAGAAGGACACAAAAAAGAAGCTTCATCATCATGTATACAGCTATCTCGATTAATTCCGCATCCGTAAGCCTCAATCCTGTGCGGAAAACCGCCAAGGTAATGTGAGTAGCTGTAAATCCTTTTTCATAACTCCGCGGTTTTGAGTCTCATAGAATGTTGTACAGTGAGTTTATACGGGACAGTTTGCGTCTTATTTAGGACGCGTCTTATTTTTCCTAGTTTAAATGGCCCTAAGAAAAGCTCGTCAGACATAGGCAAGTTTTAGTCGGACCTAACAGTGCGATGACCGACTTTGGTCAACATTTTTTGCAGCCTACATAACAATTTGGGAAATTTCTCTATTATTATTATTATTTTTATAATTTCCAAACTGATTTTAACTCACGCGTGAGTTAAAATCAGTTTGGAAATAAAAAAAAAAAATTATCCAAATTGTTATGTAGGCTTTCCGACAACGTAAATTGAAATAGCTTTATATGATTCATTTTCCCTGTCTTTCCCAGATCTGTATGAAACGTAGACCTTTTCTTTTTAGTTCTGTTGATATCAGTGTTCCTGATATTGACCAACTGCAAAGTCATGGAGTCTTTATATCTTACCTTGACAGCTTAGCTTCACCAGAATACTTCATCTCCTCATACTCCATTCTTAGCTTATCCTAGGAATATAATATCAGCAAGTTTTTTAAATCAACTTTATTATATCTTACTTTATTGTGCTGTCTAAAACAGTAAAGTGTAAAAATCACTTACTTTTCAGAAAGAGTCAACGTTTTGCGCTACGCTTTACATAGACTACCAGCAGTCCCCCATTTTTCCTCAGGGACAGTAGAGCGAGCGAAACGCGAGCGCGCGTGAAAATTACCCCATGTCGCCTTTTCTCGGGTGGCGTGATTTTCACGCGCGCTCGCGTTTCGCTCGCTCTACTATCCATGAGGAAAAATGGGGGACTACTTGTAGTCTATGCTTTACATAGCCAGAGAAAACAACCGACAATTCGTGACGCCACTCGTGGTTTCCCGCGAAATGACGTCTCATGACATGCCACTAGCCAGATCTGGGTAGTACTAATGATTGGATGAAGCAAATTTTCAACCAATCAGAAGCACTACACAGATCTGAGTTGTGATGCGTCATCAGTATGAAATTTCTGCGCTCTTTTCTCAGACCTCATTTCGCGCAAAACCACCGGTGTCATCGCGACATGTCGGCTGTTCTCTCGGCCTAGGCTTTACAACTTGCCGAAAAATCTTGAGCTATTTTCACAAGTCGGAATTAAGGCTCATCATCACGTGGTACTACCTAGTCGCACGCGTTTCTACTCCCGCGCTTAAAACCATCGATAGAACCAGCTATATGTTTTTGCTTCAAGAATATGACTGGTTCACGATTAATTGGGGCGTGATTACGTTCCGCTACAAAGGTAATTGTTAAAGTAGTTTGTGGTCGCTGTATACCTTTTCTTCTTTAAGTCTTGCAAGCATCTTCTCATTGTTTGTCTTTAGCTGCTCCAAGTGTTTTTGTGTTTCTCCTTGTGAGAGGAACCGCTGCACAACCTCTTTAATATCAGATACCCCTGTCGTATCTTTGATCTTATTCATGGCCTCCTCATAAGTTGTTATTTTGCGCTCTTGTTCTTCTCCAGACAGCACTGCTTTTTGTTCAACTGTAAAGAAATAACATTACAAATTCTGTTAAAAATATTTGTGCGGATACAATTGCAGTTCCAGATGAAGCTTCTTATTCACAAAATAAATGACAAGAATTGTTCTTATTTTTAGTTTCAGCACCTGCACATAGCAAGACATTTGGCTGTAAGTCTGATGTGGTCTCATTTGTTCGGAATACAAGCCCTTCAAGCTAATCCAGAAAGCCCGACCACAGCTGAGCTCCGCTTAAAACATGGTGACCCTTACGAATTCTTTTGCGAAAGAGGCCGCATAAAACCCTGATCGTTTTTTAAAGAGAAAAACTGGAGGAGCTGGCGGAACACTTTTGCAGAAGGACAAAGAGTTCTACTGTCTGATGTACGGGGCGTAAGACGAATACGTATCCATGAAGGGTGTAGAGTTATTTTCGGACGCAACACAACGGCTATCACCATTGCAAAAACGAAGGCCACACCAGCCCAAGTGTAGGGGTGCTTTTTTTTGTTACGTCGTTTTTTTGGCACGTCCATGTTTTACTTGGCAGCATTATAGCAGCGCTGGTACGCTGGGTTTTGTAGAATGGCAGTTAACAATTGGTTATTTTGAATAATCTTTTGTTCTCTTCTAAAACGAGTACGCTTTGTCGTTGTCCACAACTTTTGGTGTCGATGTTTGAACAATCAAAAAGGGTGAAAGATTAACTGCCGGGTGTCACGTCTTATACTCTTTGCTTAAGACAATCATTTAAGATAGCTCTGCTTTCACATCTCACCTGAAAGATCCTCTTGCTGAAGGGAACTTCTCTGTAACTGAAGAAAAACAAGAAGACCATCACGTCAAAACAAGGTCAATAAAACGCCAGAAGTTGGGGAAGAATCATAAAATTTTAAAAGACGAAATTTAAGCTAGTGGAGGCGGGGAGGTTGGGTTGTTTGACAGAGGCATCTACAGAATTCCGGTGAGGGTTAGGGTTAGTTACGAGGGCTTCAGAAGCTCATTAATAATTCTGTCAGTGTGAGCGGAATGACCTTGAACTTTTAAAAATTATACAATAATGAACAGTACAAGGCCTTCATCAATGAACCACAAGCACAGTGCGCAGTTTCATTTAAGTGTTGATTTATATGAATGAGATCTGAGTGGCTGCTTACAAGGGTGGTCGCAAGGAGAACTTGGACTGTACTTGAGTGAAAGCAGTAAAAAGGAACAAGCAGCATCTAATAACAAGCAACAAAAAATATTCTAAATGCAATATTAACAGCCCTTACCCGTTTCTCGACTTTTTCAGCGTGATCTTTCTTCTCCTCTGCTTGTTTCTTGTACTGAGATAACTCCCTTTCTCTTTCTTTCTTCCTCTCATACACAGACTGTTCCAGTTTTGTAAGCTCTGCCTTGGCAGCTTCGCGAGCAATTTGAGCATCATGATTCATCGCATTCAGCTCGCCAAGTTCTTCTCTCTGGGCACAAATAGCTCTCTCCAGATTATTCAACTGATTGGGCCAAGTTCGACGCTCTTCTTTTAGCTGCTCCAGCAGACCCTCATAGATTGTCTTAATTTTCTTTGCCTCATTACACTTGAGCGTCATTTTGTCCAAACTGTTCTCCAAGGACCTTAGTTTCTAAAATGAAGATACCAATGCTCACATAATTACATAAAAACATATTTGAGAGTAGGTATTTTCTTGTTTTGAGATAAATGACCTTAACGTATACAATTCATGGGTACAGCCACACTTTATTATTGTCATGTAGTACATCTGGTACATGGGAAATTGTTCTAAGACACTACATGTATCTTCTAAATTACAGAATTTTCATTATCGGGTCGCTCATGTTTTAACTTACTCCTTTTATGACTGCATTAGTGTATTGGTCAAAACCTGTCCTTCAGTGCATAGTTAGTAAAGAAAAAATGGAACCAGCATATCTGATTTCGATCCGGGGAGGGGGGGGGGGTTAGCTGCATGTACTTAACAACATATCATGGGGAGGCTAATGCCAGGAGGTCAGAAAAGATACCTTTTTGTATACTTTCCATTGAAAAATGGTGCCCTTACTCTAACCTTAACAGTAAGTCTTTGTGTCATTTGCAGTGTTCAATAAATGAAATTGATTCACCCATAAGGTGCGTTGGTTTGAAACACTTTAGTTAAAGGCCTTTTTAAACACCCTTTCTCAATTACACTTCAACTCACAAAACACCTACCCATTTATATGCAAGTCAAAAGCCTGGAAATGGTACAGAGAGCTAGCGTACTGGTTTGGATGTGCTGTAGATTACTCTTGTTACATGTAGCCTTAATCTTAATTTCTTTTGTTGCACGCACTGTCCTGCCTTGAATAGCCTTGCTAGCTGTGGGCAGTGCTTCTGTTATATTATCTGCTTTCGTTTTGTCTTGTTAATGTTTGTTTTAAAGTTACCACTTTTGGGCGGAGTGGCCTTGGATGTTAAATCAAAAACTTGTGAAATTTGTGAAATTTCTATTCTGATTATAAGCCCTCTTGGACATAAGCCAATAAGCGCTCCTAAAACCTCTTATGAAGAAGAATAAGCCCAGGTCTTTAAAGTAGCAGTTTAAGGAGATATACTGCACCAATGAATTCTTCTTACTTGTGCCTCAGCCGATTCACCGGCATCAGTATTAGACACTTCTTCAGCCTCAGTGACCAGCTGATTATACTCAGTTTGTAGAGCTTGTAGTTTCTTCTCATGACTGTTCTTCTGGTGTCTCAAAGCATTTAACCTTTTCACTGCCTCGCATACTTGCTGGTCAAGTTTAATGATGGCAGCCTAGAAAGGAAAACCGTTAACTCTTAGAAAATCCTCCTGGAAAATCATCACATTTAACTGCAGATCAAGTGTGTTAATTTCCCATTGGTCAGGTAAGAACTGACCCCCCGGGGGGGTTACTCCCTTATAAGGGCTTAATGGGGACGTGTGGCCAGCCAGGGTATGTTTTTCAGGATTTTTGTCTTAAACAGGGTATCGAATTTATCATTTTTTGTCTTAATCAGGGTATCGATTTATCAATTTTTGTCTTAAACAGGATAAATGTCTTAAACAGGGTATCAAAAATCGGAATTCTGTCTTAAACAGGGTAGGAAAATCAGCGATATTTGTCTTAAACAGGGTCAGGGTATGAGGGGCCGCACCGCACCTCCCCACCCAGGGATATATCGAGTACCCCCCCCCCGGGAAGTGATCCAGTAATATGAACACTAAAGGGGCCATAGAAAGTGTCCATATTAATGTAAGGGCTTTGTTTCACAAGGGACAAAGCCAACTGTTGCTTGTGTACTTTTTTGTTTTTCCTCTAACAGTTGAAAAGGTGTTCACAGATCCACAAGACTCTTTAATGCACAGCAGCTACAGTTATCCTCAGCCTGAGTTAGCACTCTCTTCATAATGAGTATATAATACTTTGGAGGATTCTAACACTATGTTCTTGTCTAACATTGGGAAATAACAAAGCTGATCTGTTTCCTGTACAAATCAAAGTTCACAAAATGAAATCTTATGCATGACAATTTCACCTGTGTTTTCTCAATTCATGTGAAATTTAAAATTTATTTTCTCAGGCTCAATTTCCTGGTGGACGGATTCCGTCTTAAACTGTCAGTACACTGAGACATTTCAGCCAAAATATATCTTTTTATCTGAGTGGATGGCAAACATTCCATGGTCATGCTTAATCCACCTCAAGGGTGAATCATGCTGAGTTACTGTTTAGGTAGTTTCTGCCCTGATAAAGCTGTTGTAAATGGACTTGTCTGCTGTAACTACAAGTGTATAATCCAGGATCACAGTTTAGTAATCATGCAAGCTACAAATAAAAAGACAGAGGAAAAAATGCTGTTTATCCACCTTTCCTGACATGCCTCTCATTGCACAATGTCTCTGAGGATCCCTCTCTTTGAAAGCCTCATCTATTACTTTTTCATCACCCTGAAACACCAAACACAGCAACAGTCAGTTCTTTCCGTAAAGTAATGAATTGAGGTTTCACCTATCAAATGGAAACCACCGATATTTTAACTTGCTGACTAAACTCTACACTTGGTAACTTGGAGGTTCATCTGTTAGCACAAGCATTGGGGTGTTTGTTGGAAGCTTTTTGTGGGGAAATATTATTCTTGGATTGGGTGAATTATTAATATTGCTGTGCAAAATATGTCTAGGGGGTGGGGGGGCAGTCCCAAAGGTTATAACCTCCAGGATCATGGCTGCTGATAAGTGCATAATTTCCCCCTGGCCCACTATGCTCAGCAGGCATTTAAGAACACTGTTTGGAGTTCACTTTAAACAGGAATCAAAATGCTGAGACGGACAACAACAACCACAACAACAACAAAAATAAAATGTAAGTTAACTCAATTATTAAATTAAATGAATGAGAACTCACTGCTTTCTTCTTCGCCAGATCGGCTCGCAGTTGTTTATTTTTCTCTCTAAGTTTGGCGATGGTTTCTTTATTCTTTTTCATGGTCCATTGAGAACTTTCGAAATAGGCTTTCCTGTCTCCATCTGCAAGGAAAACAACCTTAGATAATTATTGAATATATCTTATGTACAGGAGTAAAATATTCAGTAAACACAGTATCAAAACCTTCCACGCTTGCAGTGAGGAGTGGAAGAAATAATCGGTTAGGTGTTAAGATCGTACGACAGCCCATCCGAACTTCAGATAGTTGAACAGGTTAGATATTACAAACTGGCGTCAACCTATTGCAGCTTTACGTCTTCCTAAAATGTGGCCAATAAACTCCTACCTAACAGAGCCATCTTCTTTCGAAGCTCTTCAATTTCTTCTGTAATTGTAACTGCTCCCTCCGACATATTTGTAGCTGTCTTGAGTATTCCACGGAAGGATATCGATCAAATGTTCTGAAACAAACCTCAGGAAAGCAAACTGCTGTTTTCCTACCGTACAATACTTTTTCGCCCGTTGTCAAGGAGACAAGTAGAAAACTAAACAGCGCCTGCCCTATATACGAGAAACAGCTGACCTCTAATGCAGTAGCAAGATTTCGTTCAACCAATGAAAAAATAGAATTTTCTGCCCGCCATTTTGCAAAATGGCGGCAAGGACCCAAAGTTCTGAGTGTTTTGTTTTTGATATATTTCAATCGAAAAACGAGCCTCTTACCTTTGCTGAAATAGTTGAAATTTCCTCACTTCCACCTCTAGAGGCGGAGAAAGTACTACAGCGTTTAGAAAGCGAGCAAAAGATGTAAGTTGATGTTAGCTTGAGCTCATACTTTATTTTTACTAGCTGATCAGCTCCTTGATTACGTCCCTATATTAAACTGAAACTTTACATATTTTCTAGGCCTGTCTTTTAAACCATCTTATTCTTGCAGTTGTTTGAAAAAAGACTCAGAGGCTACATTATACGTACTAAATGTTCCAGATGATAAAACGAAACAAACAGCGAAGCCAAAAACACCGGCATCATTCCGGGTACGACCAGCTTTGACTGCAAGGTATATTCCGTCAAAGCTTATGATAAAATTTTAAACCATTAAGCTTAATTTTAATTACTTGTATTGTAGGATTTGAAACACTCAACAAAACGTTTTCCCTTAATTTTCTCTTTTGTTTTGATTTGTTTGTTTGTTTTTTTAGGAGCAGTTCAAAATTAAGACAACCTTTCAAGTCCCCTGTAAGTTTATTTTTCAACCAGTTTAAGGTTTAGAGCCCGATATAAACACTTTTTTCAGCTCATGCTGAGTCTGAATCTCTCTCACACTCCACAAAGGAGTCTGAAGTTTGTAATGACGTAAGTCTGAGGACGAGCAGTCCTTTAGACAATATTTTCAAAGGTGCTGACAAAAAATAAAGGTTTTAATTCCAGCAATCTTATGGGGACGTTAGCAGGGGGGGGGGGGGGGGGCAGTGCAGGTAAAAAAAGGACCATCCCAATAAGGACATATTTCACAAAATCGAGTAAACTCACTGGAGGGGAAGTTAAGTGAGATCCTTGATGGAAGCAGTAGGGGCTGTTCTTCCACTAACGACAGCATATATTTGAGGGTATATAAGTTATTCCTAGCCTCCTTACAGGTGAGGGGTGGTTGTGGTGAATCTACAAGCTAGAACACCCAATTACAAAATAGATTATTTTCACCATGGTCATACATATACTGGCCAACATTCAGCTGCTTGAATGGTAGTTGGTCCAGTTACCATCTGGCCATTTCAGTGTGCAAAGAGAGTAATGTCTGGTGGATTTTGCTATCAGGCTAGTGAATGCCATGCTTATCAAAAAATTTTGGGGGGCTAGCTAGTACATGCTAGCTATTGCTGGCCCAATTGGCAAGCTATTAACTGACTCTCTTTGCGGTTGTTTTATTTATAAGAATGCAGCTGTTCGTCCCAATGTTTGTGTATTTGTTTGTTTATTTTTTTTTATTATTTATTTTGCACTGAAGGACCCTCGAACAATTAATATTTTATGGCTTAACATACTGACTTTTTAAGACACCGAAGTCACCATGAAGAAGTACACAGGAGCAAAAGCCAAATCTTAACTTTGTCTGTATTTTTAACATTTCAGCTTCAATCAAAACAGCAAAATATGCTAGCTGAGGAAAAACCAACCTTGTCAGACGAAATTCTCAGTTTAGAAGCAAAGCTAGAAATTCTAGACAGGGAAATCGAAGAACTCAGTCAAGAGTAAGTCAATGATACCCTGAATTTGAGAATTTGAGGGGGGGGGAGTGGAGGTGGGGCTTTGTCAACCTATACTCTGGAGATCAAGGTTCACTCTAACTTTCTTGAAAATCATGTTCAAAGGTACAGTGAGGAAGAACTTCAGCAACACATAGACAAACTCCACGAATACAATGAAATCAAGGATGTTGGACAGCTCCTCATTGGTAAATTAGGTAAATACAAAATTAATTATTATAATATAGATAATTTTGGAATTGATATGGTAAAGCCAATTCCTGCCACAAAATGTTAACACTAGTAATAGAGTATTCATCCGATTGCTTCGACTCGTTTTCTCCTCTCAACAACATCAGACGTTACTGAGGGAGTAATAACGATTCGAAGTAATCAGATGAAATTCAGGCTATAGAGTATTAACCTTCACCGCCATATTCCTCTTCCATAACCCTCAGTTTATAATTATTTGTGGTAAAAAAAGGCTACCAAAATGTGCCAATCTGAAATGATCATTATTTTTTAATTAATGGCCAAGCATGCCAAAGATTTTCTTGTGTTTGGGTTTTCAACACTCAAAAAAAATAATCCTGGTTAAAGCTGAAGCAAGATAAGAAAAATGCGATTTGACAGAATCAAAGACAAAACTGGCTGTCATTTTGGTAAGTTTTGATCTAAGTATGATTATTTAGTTTGATTAACTGACTAAGGAGTAAGTCTTCAACATCTGTAATTTTCATGGCATTTTATTCTTGTGAATGTCACTTTGTACAACTTGAGTTACAACTCTGATTAATGTGGATGATTACTCAATGGCATTAAAAAATCCTCACTTATCAAAACTATGAAAACTTTTCACAGTGTTTATGACTCCATTTGATACTGTGATACACTCAAAAATGTTTTTGTTAACAGCTGAGATAGATGGAACAACAACAAAAGATATGTATAAAGAATTTGGATTAAATCTTGAAGACTAAACAACAGTTTACAATAAGGTCAGTAGACTAACTGTGACTTCCTGTTGGTTATGTTAGGTTCAAATCCTTGTAATTGTGCGAATTTATGTGTGAGTATATGGAATAAATTAGTAAAAAAGGAAAACTAACCAACAGAATTCTAAACCATTTAGGGATGGTCGGAAGTCATGCATACAAGGGATCATAGTCCTAATTTTCAGTTAGCCTACTCTCCAGATACCTTTAATTGTCCTGACAATTCACTTAGTTTGACATTAATAAAAACTAATTTATGAATGAGGAGAAAAACAATGGAACATGGTTACTGTTCTTTCAACAGCCCCTTTTGTGACTGGTGGCCCAGTTAAGAAGGAAGTTTAATTCTTGTTAAGTCCACATTCTATTGCGTTAGAATCAACATTATATTCTGTTTGCAATCAGTACTCAAAAAATACACATGCATGTATTTAACATTTGTTTTTTTTTACTTTTGAGAACAAGAGCTAACCTGGAGCATAAGTCAGAGACTAACAGTGCTGCAGTTAAACTTGTCTTTGACACCTAAGTGTTCATAATATAGGACAGCATATGTTTTCAAAATATTAACTTGCAGAACACAATAGACAACGACCAAACAAAAAAAATGAACAAAACTTTGACTCACTATTTGATTTGATGTATTATTTACAATGCAAGGCTGTGTTCTAAGCAAAAAATTTTGTATGGAACCCAAATGCTCTGAACCTGTGGAATCCAGCGTTCCCAACATAACCTTAAGGCAAAAGGGCATCAGTTACTGATAGAGCATAGTCTTGCATTGAAACTTTTTGGCCTGTACCCACTCCACACACACAAAAAGAGTGACAGTCATCTAAACGTCACTGTATAAACCTTTGTTTACAGGACAATGGGCTTGTGCAGTCCCCACTCTGGATGGATAGTAAAGTGCCGGCCATAGGCTTTGTGTGGTTGAGTGAACATTGCACTCTTGTTTATGGCGGCATCACTTGCTACAGTGTACACTGGAAGATGGTGCCAAGTTTGGAACTGCTGGCGTACATGTACTGGCAGCCGCTGTCTGGCTTTCTGATAGTATGACTGTTTGGTGATGTCTGGGGCTCTCTTGGGATTATACAGCAGTTTACCACGTGACACAACAGTATCCTCTCTGTGGAATGCAACAATGAAACAGTAAGACAGTTCAAAGGACAAAAAAATAATTATTATGATAGTTACCATAAATAGTGAAAGTGTACATTGTTGGAATGAAGTACATGTAACTGATGGTAGTTGTCTTAAAAAGTGGTACACAACATATATCGAACTAAACATTTGCAAGGGGCAAAATCTTTATAAAATTAATCTTAACACCTTTTTTACATCATGAAAAATACAATGTAGTTAGCGACTATAGTGGAAGAACAATATCCAAAACAGTGCTGATTTTTCTGGTTTAAAAACATTAATGTTTTCATCATCACTTTACTCTTCCTTTTTGCCACAAAAATAAAAACTTCCTGTAATAAACATTCCACAATTTTACGTAACTGTACTTTCCTCATTAAGGCTCTTATACAAACCTAGCCAATGCTTCCAAAGCTTCCTTAATTCTACCACTGTCACAGAGCTCACAATTTCCCACTAAATGATCTTGATTCAATTTTTGGCCAACCATATCCAGTTTGTCTGTTTTCACTCCAGACAGGGTACTGAAGAACTTCAAAGCTAGCTCACGTTCTTTAAACACAAACAAAAATGTATTATTTAAACTTGATAATTAAACAAAAAAAATCTCAGAAACTGTTAGTTTTTTTGTTAAATTTTTTGTGGGTGCTTGTCATGTTACTTGTATGCCAACATTTTCGGAATTTCAGTCAAGAAATAAATGAAACGCTTCAGTCCTCATGGAAATTTTCTGGTCAAAGTGGTCCACCTCCAGTCTAACCGCAACTTGCTGTTCCATTTCCAAAAATTCTTGTTTCCAGTCTTACTTTGCTATTGAATCAGTAATCTTGAAAGAGAAATGGATGGCTTTGATTGAAAACATTCTTTGATCAAACAACGTCACTCCATTTTCTCTTGATAATTTCACTGGTTTCTGACTGTTTGATTCGGCATTTCTCAGTTAAGATGGTTAAATCTCTCAGGGTTTACAACTGTTCTCTTAAACCACTAGCTTTTAAAAACTGGTGTTTCAAAAAGTGGTGCACAAAATTTAAACAGTAATATGATCAGACCTTATTCTAAGAAACATGTGAAAAGATGGGTGAGAAAACTTATTAGCCTCAGAGGCCCAATTTATATGGAGAAAACCTGTCCTGAGTAGATTGTCACCATCCCAGCTGAGTCAACTTTAAGCGAGTTTAAGATTATGAAAAAAAGTTGTCTCCTTTGCCAGAGCCAACAGCTCACTTGTATGCTCTGCATGTGATCTACATGTACTTGTCTAAAACAACGCTCACACATGCTCTGATGGTCTAACCTTAACCGAGTTGACTCAACTGAGCGAGCTAAGCCGCGTTTATATGGAGAAAAGTTGGCCCGACTAGGAGGGTGACCCAATCGCCAAAAAAGGGTGACCCAGCTAGGCAGGTAACCCTTCTAGCAGAGCCAACTTTTTGTTTTTCATGTAACAAAATGCCTTGCTTTGAAAGGAAATGTATGAAAAGTTGGCTTGCTCAGGGTAGCTCGGCAGGCGGATGATGCTTTCTTGCCAGGTGGGACAACTTTTCTCCACTTAAACAGGGCCTGAGTATGAAATCTTCCCTACAAATTTAAAGCCTAGAAAGTAACTGATTGTAGCGCTCTTTCATCAACAAAGGGTCAGCATGGTGGAGTGGTCAGTGTGTCAGACTTGTAATCCAGCGGTCCCGGGTTAGAGTCCCGCTCTGGTGACTTGCTGGATTTGTTCTTGGTCGCCCAAGTTCACATCCTCAGCCACCCTTGTAAATTAATAGCCAACTGGTTGCCTCCTGACGATAGGGTTTTTTTATTCTGTTATGTTGGATTTGAATTATTTGTTTCTAAGTATTTGAGAGGAGTGTCTGTAAACTAGCTGGATAAGTTAAGTGCACTTTCCACTATAAACAAGCCTAAATAATAAAATTCTGACTGAAAGCAAACCTTTATCTGTGGCTGTCTTCAACCATTCGTTCACAGCTTCCAGTGAGTGAGGATGAATAATTTTCCTGATTGACTGAAAGAAAAGTCATAGAGAGGAGGGTTTTTACTCAGTTGCCATTTATCATTTAAATATGACTTTGCATGTTTGTATGCAAATATGCTGAGTAAGCAAATTTTTGACAAATTAATGCATTGCACATGCAAATTATGCACAAAAGATAGTGCAAAAGTAAGTTTACCATGACGCACTGCCCAGACTGCAGTTTGAGAATATTATCATGGCATTTTCCAAGAAGATTAAAAGAAGTGATTTTTTAAAACATATGACTATAAAAAAATGTGATATGACTACTATGATCTACTATAAAATAACTTTTCTTTCACCCAGAATGAAAAGCGCTCCGCATTCCTTTGGCTCATAGAGCTCTGCTAATTTAAATAATTAATCACTGTACATGAATGTGCAAACACAACACACTGTAAACTATAATTGTAAAGAACTGTCATAACTACCTTCTCAACAGCAGTCCTCTTTGCCTCCTCCAGATCTTGCAGTATGCTCTTGTCTGTTTTGTCTGGAATAGACACAGTGTTCATTCTTTCATAACAAATATAAATACATGTACTTGTAATATCCTGTGAATTATCACTGTTCGATCATCTACCAAACCAGTGATATTGTTTTTTTCAAGTTTCTATGAAAATCAGTAATAATTGGACAATTACTGTCAAATTAGTATGTGTAATCAAATGGTGACGAGTGAAATTAGGGAATAATTTCACAAGCATACCATTTGATTACCTATTAATATCATGGGTGACGAATTACATTAGCAATCTTGGATTTTTGACATGTTTATCCTGGATCGTATCGATCAAGAACTCCCCTCTCACAAATGTTTAGACCTTAAATTTGGCTTATAAAGTTCAGAATTTTTCAGATTTTTTCGGCAAAATACCTGTTAGAATCCTTCTTGATGTTCTCTTGTGTGTTCAGGTTTTCTAGAGCCTCTTTTTGTGCCCTGACATCTTCATTCACGGCATTTTAAAACTTCGTTGCCATCTTGACACTGAGACGTACGGAAGGGTTGCCATGAAATTACAAATTAACGCTGAAATTTCGCGCCAAAATTAAGGAGTAATTTGTCACCTATGATATTAAAACAGTTATTAAAGTGTTCTTACCTTTGCTTAGTTCCTTGGACAAATTTCTCATTGCTGGAAGTGGTGGTGTCTGCATGGATATATATGTCAACAGTAATAAAAAAGTTAATATTAAAAATAAATTATTATTGTTATTTTTAAATGAGTTTGTAGCAGCAAGGTGGTGCTACATTTAGAGAGTGGTCAATTAAGTCAACTGGGGCATGACATAGACTGATAAAAACCATGAAAAAAACACTCACTTTAGCCAGGGGTGTAACTTGTCTCAGAAAAGGACTCTTTCTTACTGCATTAGCTGCCTCCAGCCTTGGTACTATAAGGTACAAAAAGTTAATGATGAGAATAAAAAAGCTTTTGAAATAAATACTGGAATAAATGGTGAATTACACCTGCTAGCTAGCTATCATGGCAAAGTTAATAAAAGTTCAAACACGTTTAGGCTACCCCGGGGAGGAGGGAGGGGGTGATCATCCACATTGCTGCTATGCATACAAATGTAGCAAGGTATATGTGTTCAAATATTTCAAAATAAGAAAAGAGAAGGAAGACAAAAAGTAGATTAAAATACTGTATGTGTCTGTGTATATGTAATTATCTCTATTTGTAATAACTTGTTATGTAACTGTATTAGTGTAATAAATAGCTTAGCATATAATTATTTTAATTTTAAATTATTTGGGAAACAGTTGATGTACCAGCTGGTAAAAGACCCCAGATAAAATATTTTCTATTGTCTATTATATAATTTTCTTTATCGCTTACATTCATCTTTTCCTCTTGATACTGGATTTGTTTGACTGTTTCTACTGCCAACAGATCTTCTACTTTGAACTGACATCCTGGATTCCATCTTTTCTCTCTCTGCATATTTATATCCTCCTATTATATCAAAGGGAATTTTTGTGAACTTAAAAAAATATGCTAAAAAGATAATTAAGTCTGTTTCCCCTTGGAGGGTCCTAAAGTGTCTGTGTGGACCTCAGCCACATCCCTTGTACTACTGCTGACCTCATCAGTTTTAATGATTATAGAAAACTGACATCTACTTTGTGGGAAAGGGAAGGGAGAAATCTTTCACATTTTACCCAAATGAGCATAATTCAGTCAAACAGGTCAGAATACAAATAAAAAAAAAAAAAGTAAAGTTGCCCTGAAGATAAAAGACAGCAAAATGTGTGCAACTTGGAAAAAAAGGTGTTAGTTATAAACTGAGTGCTTTAAACCAGCTCTTAATGGACTCCAAAGCATGTGCCCTGAGTGTCCAGAGATTTATATGTATTAATAATTTCTTTTTATTGTAAAAGATCTGACCATTTTCATGAAAAGTGGAAACTGGCCTGGCCTGGCCTGGCCAGGTCAGCATTTGAAAAGTTTCAGTTCTTCTGCTACAAGGACATCACATAGATTCTCACCAGCTGACTGGAGGGGAGTTCTGTTCTGTTGAATCAACCTTGACGGCACACGCCATCCCATAAAACTCTGAAATAGACAAAAATGTCTTCATCGACTGTTCAAATCACAAACCAGCCTTAATGACCGTGAGTTAAACAGCAGCAACTCACTATCAGTGAGGAGGCAGTGTGGCCGAGCAGGAGCAGTTAGAGTGCTGGATTTGCAATTTGGAGGTCCCAGCCTGACTGCTCAAGGGCACCCAATGACTGTTTTCTGTAAAATATCTGTTCGGAGAAGCAAAATTGCGTAGAATTTTCTATAGCTTGAGGAAGGCTAAAAATTTCTAGACAACCATTCCATTCATGTACAATTTTCGTAGCATATCTAATAAATTCCCTACGATTTTCTTACGTTTAGTTTTTCGCATTTCAGTCAGTATGTTAGCCCATTTTTCATAGAAAAAGGAAACCTAAAATTTTCGGATTTTTGAAAATGCGATGGAGAGAGGAATCAGAAAAATTCACACTTTCGTAAAACCTATTGCATCTAAAATTTTCTGGAAAATATTACTGAGGCCCTAGTAATTTTGAAAAGACTCAAGTTGCTCTTGGACAACCGAACAGATACAAATTTTATAGCACTGATTAGAATGCATTTCTAGAAATCTGAGAATACTCTGGATAGCCTAAAAAGTGTTTTCAATGCATTTAGGAGGAAACTGTCATTGGGTGCCCCTGATCGCTAACTGGATTTGTTTTTGGTAGTGTCAAGTTCAAATCTTCGACCACGCTTGTAAATAGCTAACTGGTTTGCCTCTAGCCATTTGGGATTCTTAACCCCATTATGTTTGGTATAAACTATTTCTTTCAAGCATTTGCTTGGCCTCACTAGCATTGGTGCTATAAATACTGTCGAGCCTAAATAATGGAAATTTAGTCATTTTAATATTTTAATTTTTTGAATAAAAATTTTAATTGGTCTGGTATTTGGAAGTTAAATAGCACTGAAACCCATAATTTCAGATGGAACCATGCCCTAAATCTGGCATTGCTCATGAAATTTATAGACATACATGTAACAGTTCCTAATTTATTGAGATTTAACAGAGACATTTCTTTAAACCGATTTAACTCAGTTGAAATAAGTGTAGGCTTAAATAACATGCCAATCAATTTAGAGCAATAAAAACCTCTATTAAATGCTATAAAATTCTGAGAACGTATTAATAATTACTGCCATCAACATCACACCTCTCTGGACCATGTAAATTTTTTTAGAAATAAATGTAGCCTGTGTTTTTTGAGATAAATGGCGGTACACTGTACACAAATTCTCTACTCTAAAGTGGAAGTTGTATTGCTGCAATTGCTATCAGTATGCGTAGAGACCGATCAATTTTTCGTAAACAAATAATAAAAATCCATGATGCTCCAAGGAAAAAGCAATAAATGACAAAACATAAAGATAAAATAGGGTAATAGTTTTCTAATTTCTTGAGTAAGTTACCGGTACTGACGCCCCGCTCGCTGCCGAACCAGATCTTTGAATTTGTCCTTCCTTTTGCAAGCTTTGTTTTCCTACGACAGTGTCCTCTTTATATGGAGTCCCCGGCGGGAATACGCGGGAAGATTCTTGTTTGTACTTAATTTTTATCGACCGCAGAAAGCCAGCTGGTAGACTGTCAGTTCGTGAGTCGCCAATTAAATCTATGAGGTCCATAATTTAAATTCTCAAAGTCTGTCAGTTCTTCACGCTCTACTCGAACGCCATCTTAACTCTGCTGAGACGACCGGCCTTTGGCCTTGACAACGAGCCTCGTTTCCGTTAGGCCTCCTACCGTGGACCGGACTCGAGAAACATAGGAAAATGACTTTTTCTTTGTTCAGAAGAAACTCGGTAACTTGAACTCTGAAGAGAAACGAAAAACAGTTCGAGTTAAGGGGATTCTAGTCATGGCTAACTGATTTTCAGCACTTCAGTCTGCGATACAGTGTAATTCAACTTATCTCATCGCCATCGGAAACTGGAAACCAAACACAGGTCACAAGTGCAGGTCTCTCCTCTATTGATAAATTACTTGAGATGATCCAACAGAAACGATAACACATGGCCCGGTATTACTCATAATACTGAAAAATGATTGATGTAGTGTTAGTTTTAGTGTTTTTATCGCGATTACACGACAAGCATTGTGATCAAGGAAACGAAAGTTCGAGTTATCCGAGTACGAGTCAACCGAGTGGGGTGAAATCCAAGAGAAATAGGACTTAGTTCGAGTTAGCTAGGAATTCGAGTTATCCGGAGTAAGAGTTCACCGGGTAAAAATTGTTTCTACGTAATTATTTTAGAGTTTTTTAGTCAGTATCTCATTAGTCCTTTCACAATTGTATATAAGCGCCTGCTATTTTTTTACTTCTGAACTTGAAATAACCTTCGGACGGTCGAAACGTCGTCGTCTTTATTAACCTTTGTGCAAATTAATATCAACTGTTTAGTTTTGGAGGTTTTCTTGGCCTTTCGCCACTTATAAAATTTCCAAACATTTTCAGTCGTAAGCAAGTTGTGATTAAGGTCTTGCAATGTCCAGCGAGGGTGTGGCTATATATGGAACTGGTTTTTCCGGTTTAGAGGTTCTTCAGGAGACAGAAGTCCGTGAAGATGAGCTAAAAGCGTGAGATTTGAAATACCTTGAAAACATCAGTCTGCATTTTTCTCGCGCGCGAGCCACAAGAAACGAGAAAAAGGCCTAGGAAGAGCAAAAAGTATTGTTTGGCCAAATCCCGTTTGGAACTGCAACAAAACACCGGTTTTTTCTCCTAACGTCGTTTTTCTCTTGTCGCATTTCTTTTCATAGGTTTTCTGCTCCTAGATGTATTTGTCCTTCGCAGGTGCGGCAGTTTGTTTGTGCGTGTTTCTATTGCGTGTTAGACAATGTGGTGGATACACGCGCGCTGTGATTCGTTGTTGCCCATGTTCTGTTGGAGTACTGACATATGGATGACCTCATGGGAAATTTGTTTTCTTTGTTTTGTCCAACATGGAGCGCGGTTTTGAAAACTTCTGCAAGATGATTTCAAATAAGGAAAGTGAGAAGGGCAGCTGCGTTTGTCGTTGGGAGATCTTTGGCGTGAAGGAAGGATGAACAAAGTGCACAACCTATTAAGCGAAGAGTTTTGCTTGTTCCAGAAGGTAAGTATAAGACCAAGGGAAAGGGCCTCCAAGTTGTTTTAGGAGAGCAAAGAATTATTGTAAAAGCTGTAAAGATAAAGCGATATGAGAGTAGGGTACAGCAATTCTGGCAGAACAGCCTGTTTGACAGTGGCCAGAGGTGTTTGTTTGAGGACATTGGCAGGTAAGATAGAGGAAGAGAAAACACGCACCAGACCCCAATGGAAGTGTAACGTTTTGAAGTAGTATTTTCATGGGGTGAAACCAAAGAACACAACAAGCAGGCTGAGTTGTTATCACAGATGAAGGAGCAACTGATGTCTGGGAGGTGTGGATATTTAGGCGACTATCTCAATCACCGCGCGAAACATACGAGTTCAGTTAAACAAAACATCTAACTGGAATGGACCTGGCCCTGATGAGGTTCAAGAGTACTGGCTTAAAAACTTTACATCTCTAACAGAGAGAACTACCACACAGCTTGATGATTCCCTACATCAAAACAATAACCGGCTTGCCCCTGCTCAGTTGGAAAGTGTTTACAGTAATCGTCGATGTACTATACAAACATCTGGAGAGTTAAAACCTCTTACCACCCAAACAGAAAGGATGTAAACGAAAATTCAGGGGAACAAAGGATCAACTACTGCTGCTGCTGACAATCCATAATGCGATGCATCCCCAGGAAGATGTAGATAGATTGTATATGAAAAGATCGGAAGCTGGGAGAGGTTTAATAAGTGGGAAAGATTGTATTGAACTGTGTAATGTCACAGTCTTGCAAAAGTACATCCAGCAAAGCAATGAGATTCTCAAGAGTCTACTGAAGAAAATTGAAGGAAAGGAGATGCGAAAGAAGATGAAGCACGGAAAGTTGGCCCTGGCTAAGAAAAGGCGTTTTAAAGAAAGAAACAAAGGGCCCCATAACAGCTGCTCAGAGCCGGGCCAGGCGTTAAGAAACAACAGTATAAGAAAGAGAAGTGACGGAAAGGATATATCCTTATTGTTTAGATTGTGTGGAGAGCGTGAAAAAATAAACCATTAGTAACATTGTGACAATACAAAAAGCACTATCAGCCAGATATTACGGCAGTACACAAAGGCACACAGGAGTGGACACTTGTCGACATACCCGTGCCAGCGGACCAAAATATCCTTACTACTGAGGAGGCGAAAGTGCAAAGGCATCAAGACTTCACGCTCGAAATGAAAAGAGTCCATAGAGCCCCAAAATTGACAGTAATACCCATCATGATTGGTGCACTTGGAACTATCTTGAAGAATGCAAAGGCCTGGTTGAGGAGGTTGAGTCTGCCTGACATTATTGGGAGGGTACAGTTGTCAGCCACCCTTGGTACTGCTCATATCTTGCGAAAAGTGTTGTGTCTCTAAGCTGCGGTAAGCTGCTGAGACATGACTGAGAATACCCAGAAAATCCCAGAGAACTGGACAGGATCACACGATAATAACGACAATTAATAATAATAATAATAAGAAGAAGAATAATGATAATAAGATTAATAGGACTCTGTCTCTCTTGGACCAAGGTGACTCATTAAGCAGATTTAGCAACAGAACGGGAACGTCAGCTGACGACGGCGCGAGCAGATCAAACAACTGGCGTGACGAATGGCAGAGCAGCAAATTGGGCACCGGAAGTCGCGTTGAGTCCTTTCCGCGCGCTTTCACGTCGTCATCTGACGTTCTCGTTCTGTTGCTAAATCAGCCTATTTGCTGTCTGTAGACGTCCTTAAAGTGTTCGTTTCATCGGAAAACAAGCTTAACAGGTAACTACGTTCCACCAGTGACGCTATGCAGGATATGGGTTTGCAGTGGATCCAGAGAACTGCAACGTTACCCATGTCAGGAAGGGCAAGCAAGTTGAAGATGCAGCAAAATCCAAGCGAGACGAGACGGCTTTGGTCGACAACCTTAAGATTGGGGGCCAAATACAAGTTCCTGGGTGTGAGAGAGTCTGTGATGACGAGAAGTTAGCATTAACACTTGCAGCAAAGCCGTACTTGCAAAGGCTCTCGATAATCTGGACGAGCCGTCTATCCGATGCCAACCGCCTCAAGGCAACAAACCAGTTCGCCTTGCCTGTCTTGACGTACCCAATGTGGACCCAACAGTGGCCATTGGGAGAGATGCAGAGCACTGATAGAGAGACAAGGAAGTTGATCGTGAGAATGGTGGGAGACACCCTCTTAGCTCTACTGCCGTGCTGGATCTTCTGAGAGATAAAGGGAGTCGTGGACTCAAGTCTGTAGAACAAGAGAACAAATTAATTAATAATTAAGATCGAAGCGGTTATACAGCTGTATGAGAATCCAAATCCAATGATGAGAAGTGTGCGGATGTTTGAAGAGAGGGCATGCGGCGAGAAGGGATTCTCCTTACTTGTGAAAGACGCGCACAAGTTTGGGGAGAAACTAGGGGCTACTCTAAATTTGGCCACTCCCGATCCCGGGCATCGTGTAGCTCGCAGCAAATCCCAGAGACCAGAGATGGAAAGGAAGTCTGCTGTGGACCAAATGGGAAGACGACCGGATGAGTGAAAACGACTGTTTCGCCTGGTTGAGTGGTTTGACGTGTGCTCCTACTGATACTACTGCAGGGGTTATGTTACGTTATGAGCAACTCTATACCAACCCGAGTTTACGCAGCTTATAAGACCGGTACTTCAGACCAAATTAACACCATGTGCAGAATGTGCGGTGAGGTAACAGAAAGCCTTGCTCACGTTTTGGCAGGATGTTCATCGCTGGTACAGACTAAGTATATGGACAGGCATGGTGTTGCACTAAAATTGCTGTTCTTTGAAATGCTGAGGGACCTCAAACTTGCCGTCTCTGTTCCTCCTTGGTACTCACGGGTGGATCCCTTACCGTTGTTCGAGTCGGAAGACAGTTAAGCATACCGGGATGTTCCGGTTTACGCAGAACGCACTTTCGTTCGAGCCAATAGGTTGGATGCGTGATTTGTAGACCACAAGTCGATGAGGGTGTTAGCTGTGGAAAAGAGCTGCCCGTGGTTGAACAATTGCGTGAAGAAGGATTCTATGAAGCCAGAGAAGTACCAACCACTGCGGTGGGATCTTACCAAACAGTACCCAGGCTACAAGATCGTACAGCTGAACGTCATCATGGACGTTTTAGGGGGGTGGTCCAAGGAGCTAGATGTCAAGATGAGTAAGATCTTTGGTGCGCGATTGAGTGATATTGTGAAGAGGATAAAGAAGGGTGTGCTGTCCAGCTCTCTGAACATTGCGCGGACATTCAAAGTTATTACTAAGTGATGCCATAGACCCGAATGTCATGTGTTGTAACATAGAGTGGACAGGATAAACTTTACGTTTGCTTAAGTATTTCATTTTTATCATTTAAATCTTAGGCTTCCATTGGTTTTGGAATTTTTTAAGTATCATATAACATATATAGATACAGGATCGCTTTGTCCTTTTTCTGGCATTTTTTTTAACCCTTAGGAAGTTTGCATTAGTTTCAGGATTGAAGATTGAAGATTCAACTCGTTATCACCTTTTTAGTGTTGAATTGTTCAATTCCTATAGGGCAGCATAGGTTACGATTTATAAAGAGCTTTGATAGGAAGCCAAAGATTATGGAGAGTGTCTACTTACGGATTCAGAGTGATGTCAAGTGAATAAAAGCCAATCACTTGTCCCGTAATGGGTAGAAGGGAACCCTTGTATTTCTAACTCCTTTTTCTTAGTAATAGTCTTTATGAACTTTCATGTAAAGATTGTTTTGTCGTCATCTAATCTGTTATATTTTTGTTATATTGGTTTTGGTACGCGCAGCTTATTTTAATATCAGTGGTGCACGTATCTACTCCCTTAAACTTAACTCTCAATACTAGGCGTCACCTTTGTGCATTGACCGAGATTGCAAGAGATTAATTTATCGCCCCCGCGCACTCAATATTGCCAAGATTCACGAAATGTTATTTTTCTTCCTTGACCAGAGTATGATTTGTTTGCTCACAGCGGGTCTAACCAGGAGTCATGATAAGTAAAACTTGTAGGGCCTTACGTATCACTGCTATTGGTTACTGTTGGACTCTATTAAATTTATTTTGGTAGTTACACTTGTTATATGTTATTGTATGATCTAAGTTAAGTTATTCATTTCAGGATCAATATTATTTCTCCAATACAACGACGTATTTTGCGTTAGCTTCGCGTGTTCATATAAACAGCGAGGAGGATATTTCTAGCGAGTTGCTGTGTAACACGTACAGCGTGAAAGTACGGCCCTCAGTTTCAGCAACAAAAAGAAAAATAAGCTTTTAAGTAAACAAACATTTTAAATCTTGAATTTGAGTCTTAAAATTGTAAGTATAGTGGAACCCCTCCTTTGGGACAGAACACCTTTATTTTTCAAGGGACAAACACAAAAAATGTTCACAGAATCTTTTATCTGCTACCTCCATTAAAGGGACTCTTTCTCTGGATCTCAAAACTCAGGCTTAACTTCCATTCAGGCAACACTTTAACACTCAAAAAGTGGCTGACTGCAAAGAGGGTTGATAACTTCAAGTATAATCACAATGATGTCAGCTGTCACCAACTGAGCATTAAAAGGAACGGTTGAAAAAATTCTTTAAATTTCTTAATGTGGAATTTACGTCTTGAAGTTGAAAGAATTCCTTAAATTTCTGCTAGCGATTGTGGTCCCCTTTCAGGTAAAGGCACAAGAATATTGTCATAGTAAAGTTTAGATCTGTTACAGACACTGTATTCAAAAGTCAACTGTTTTCGGTTTGAGGTTAAGGCAAAATTCGGAGTCTATAACTTCAGCAAAGCTTGTATCTTTGTTGGTATACGCATATAAACCCACTTAAGGAATTATTCGAGGAAAGGAGTCAATGAAAAAGGAGTAAATCTTTAAGCACTTTGATTTAAAACGGTGAAACAAAATATTACCGATTTCTTGAATCTCGAAGTCATGTTGGAGGCATAATATGACATCTATATTAACCTTTATCGCAATTTAAACGCCAGTTTGTCCCAACAAACCTGTAGTGCATCTGTTTTAAGATTTTCCACCGTAATTCTTTTGGAATTTGACAATATCATTGACATCAATTAACAATCTGCTTTATTATTCTCCTGCAATCTAGAGACGCTAAATTCATTAATGACGCAGCATACTTTGGTAAGCCCTAAAGTAGAGGTCCTTCATGGCTTTGGTCGTTGGAGTGTTACTCGCCACCGCCTTTGTACCGTTGCTCTTGTCTTATCTGCTGTTCGCTGGCGTGGTAGTACCGAAGTTTTGGGTTTGTCACATTGGGTTTTTTTTATTAAAACCGGGATCATTGCCAAGGCAACAGTCTTTTGACATCTCTTATCATCCCAGCATGCGTCACGAGTGACTTATCTCTTTTTCTCTACACCATATAAGTTATCCTTTCACAGATCAGACTACGAATAGCTTCTGCAGTAAATGACCTATAACAACAAATTTTGAAGAGATGAGACGAAGAGCCCAATTTTGATAAGGAGAATATTCGTTTTAAACGTGCTAGAACAAATTCTAAATCTTATACTTATTTACACGAATACAACGGCGGAGACTTCAATTTTAAAGGAGAAAACTCTCTTCTTTTTTTGCGGAAGATAAGCAGAAGTGTTCTGTTTTACCACGCTCACTAAGATGAGAGGACATTGAAACGGCTGCATGATTTACCATGCATTTGCTTTCTTGTTCGTTTGTCTGTTTGCTTTTCCATTAACCGATTTCCCTGGTTTTTCTTAATTTAATAACTTGGCTGTGAGCGATGGTATATGAATAAGCCATCTTCGTTGTGGCATTGACCTATTCCTTGCAATAAAAGCAAAGCCCTCCAAAAGCGGGGTTTTCCGCGGCCTTCACTCAAACGTTTTTCTCAGTTTCAGTTTAACGGGTTGTGAAAACGGCTAGTCGATCATGTTGTTATTTTAATTTCTCACCTTCGATTGAAAATAATGCTATAGTTGTTTGTTAATTTAATGTACTGTAATTAACTAACATAGACAAAATTACAGCAATTTACAAAATAAATATGTTGATGCAAAGTCACTTTTTTTCACAAAAATTACCCACAAAAACACATCTTCCCAAGGGGTGCTAATTAATGATTCATTGTGATATTTATTTCATACTTGTTTGATTAACCAAAATAACGTTTAGGGTGATATATCATTTTACTCAATACTGTCAATATAGCGAACATTGGTGAATCTCTGTACGAATCCTTCATTTGTGACATTTGTGAGTATAGAACAGCCGACTTCTATGTCATTTGTTAATGCATCCATGCTCAACAATCACAGGTGGAGTGAGTTTATAATGATTTGATTAAGTCGGCCAATTCGTGGGTGATTTCTGTGTTGGTTTGGCTTTTTTGTGTTTGTATTTGGCGCGAATCAAACCTGCGGTCCCCTGGATTAGGTCCGTGCAAACGGAATGTTCCATTGGGCACGCGGAATTTAGGATATTTCAAACCGGATTTTTTGTTGAATGGAAAGCGCTCGAAATCCTCTCTCAGTAACTCCAATCAAAAAAATTAGGTCAGATTCTTCCAAGGGCAAAAGGAAGGACGTGAAAGGACAGAATTGATTGTGTACCTGTGACGAAACCCGCCACAAAAGTGAGTCCTCTCCAACGACAACACCGAGCATAGACAAACTCGAGAAAACACGTATATATAAAAAAATAATACTCTAAACGTTTATTAAAACAATACTCCCAAGACTCCACGATTTTAAGATTAACTAGGCGTTTCTATAATTATAATCGTTTCTAAAGACTAATGCGATAATACTTGTGATATTTATTCTAATTTCTAAAGAGTAATGTGATAATACTTGTGATAATTATTCTAATTTCTAAAGACTAATGCGATAATACTTGTGATAATTATTCTAATTTCTAAAGGCTAATGTGATGATACTTTTGATAATAAATTTACAGCGTTTTTTTTAACTACTTAGCCTACAACATATTTACAAATTATCTTCTCCGAACACGCAGTAATAGTTCCCTTTTAGTTCACCTTACGTATAAAACAGAGTTCCTTGTTCGTTCCTTTAGACCAGCCCATCGACGATTCCAAAACCTTCAAACTCCAGTATCTTGTATCTTTTTCAAACTTGCTCCG